AATAAAAGCAAATCTTCAAATTACTGCAGCAGATTTACGCAACAGTTACAGGTGGCACTTCCGCGTCGCTATTGACTAAGTATCACATAAACAGTTTATTTTTAGCAATATAATTTATTTTTAATTATTTGAAGGACTTAAGACTACACTCACATGTCATTACGCATTTTTTTTATACATTGTATGTAAAAATTATATGTCGCAGTCACTTTAGGTGAAGCGGGCTATCCAAAAATTAAAAACAAATTTTTATAACGATTACCATGTTATCAAAATAAATTTAATTTTTTCAATTTTTCAATTTTTCAGTTTTTCCTTTTCGCAATTTTTCAAGTTTTCATTTTATGCGTTTTAGTTTATTCATTTTTGATTTTTCAGTTGTATAATTTCGCAGGTTTTCCATTTTTTTTTATTTGAGAGGTTAGTAAGCCGAAAAATTGAAAAATCGGAAAATTAAAAATCAAAATCAAGTAAACAAAAAATTACAAAATCGAAAAATTGTAATTTAAAGCACTGAAGAAACGAAAAATTGAAACACTGAAAAACTAAAAATCGAAAACATAATGAATCGAAAAATTGGAAAGAAGAAAAAACAAACTGAAAAATTATAGAATCGTAAAAATTGTAAAGTCGAAACATGTAACATTGACAGATCGAAAAATTGAAAATTGAACAATCGAGCAAATGAAAAAGTTTTAAAATCCAATAATTGAAAAATGGAAAATCGTGAAATTTAAAAAGTAAAAATTTTGAAAATATAATTGTTATTAAATTGAAAAATTGAAAAATCGAGAAACTGAAAAATCTAAAAATGAAAAAAGAAAAATGATAAAATCAGAACATCGAAAAACCGAAGATTTGGAAAATTAAAAACTCGTAAAATTGCAAAACCAAAATTTGAAAAATTATGTACAACAATATAATTTATTTTTAATTATTTGGAGGACTTAATTATTAAAACTACGCAACATGTATCCTGTCACTACATATATTTTTTTTTGATACAGTGTACAATTATATGTCGAAGTCACTTCAGGTGAAACGGGATAGTCAAAAATTAGTTTTTTTTCTTGACCACATTCACTTAAATTATAAATTTGTACAACGATCGTCATGTTATCCGAATAAATTTAATTTAATTCCATTTTTCAACGTTATTTATTTCAATTTTTCGATTTGCAATTCTTCAATTTTCCGATTTTTTAATATTACAATTTTTCATTTTTCGATGTTTCAGTTACTCAATTTAAATACATGTTTCGATTCAAATTCAAATTTTCGTTATCGTAATTTTTCAAGTTATTGAGTTTTATTTTCCAATTCCCCGATTTTCCAATTTTGAATTTTTTCAATTTTGCAATTTTTCGATTTCTCATTGTCCGATTTCCTGATTTCTTTAATTTTCAATATTTCGATTTAAGTTTTCATTTTATGCGTTTTCTTTTTATCATTTTTGATGTTTCAATTGTATAATCTAGCAATTTTTCCATTTTTTAATTTAAAAAGTTAATAAATCGAAAAATTGAAAAAAGAAAAAACAAATCGAAAAGTTATAGAATCGTAAAAATTAGAAAGTCAAAACACTGTAACATTTAAAGATCGAAAAATTGCAAAATTAAATATCTGTAAATTGCAAAATTAAAAACTGAAAAATGAACAATCGAACAAATGAGTTTGAAAATCCAATCATTGAAAAATGGAAAATCGTGAAATTTAAAAAGTGAAAAATTTTGAAAATTTTATAATTATTATTAGATACATGTTTAAAATGAAAACTAGAAAAATTACAAATGAAAAATTGAAACAACGAAAAATTGAAAAATTGAGAAACTGAAAAACCTAAAATTGAAAAAACAAGAAAGTTGAAAATCGAAAAATTAAAAAAAGAAAAATTATAAAATCAGAACATCGAAAAACCGAAAAATTGAAAACTCGTAAAATTGTAAAACCGAAAATTGAAAAATTATGTACAGCAATATAATTTATTTTTAATTATTATTTGAAAGACTAAGATTACACAACATGTATTCTGTCACTACGTATTTTTTTTAATACACTAATTGATGTGTTTGTTTTTGAGGTTAGGCTGATTCCTACATCAATGTTGATATGTATGTTAAAATTATATGTCGAAATTACTCCAGGTGAAGCGGGCTATCCCAAAATAAATTAGTTTTTTTTCTTGAATACATTCACGTAAATTACAAATTTTTATAACGATCACCATGTTATCAGAATTAATTTAATTTAATTCCATTTTTCAACGTTTCGGTTTCATATTTTTTTGTTTTTTCAACGTTAATTTTTAAAATTTTTCTATTTCTAGACTTTCAAATTTTCCAAATTTTCGATTTTCAATTCTTCAATTTTGCGATTTTTTAATATTGCAATTTTTCATTTTTCGTTTTCGCAAAGTTTCAAGTTCTTGATTTTTATTTTTCAATTCCCCCATTTTTCAATTTTGCAATTTGTCGATTTCTGATTATCCGATTTTACAATACATATTTCGTTTTTTCGATTTTTACGTTTTCACGTTTTTATTTTATGCGTTTTCGTTTTTTCCATTTTTTTGATTCGAAAAGTTAGTAAATCGAGAAATTAAAAATCAAAATTGAGAAAAACAAAAAATTGCAAAATCGGACGATTGCAATTTGAAGAAGTGAAGAAACGAAAAGTTGGAAAAAAGAAAAAGCAAATCGAAAAATTATATAATCGTAAAAATTGTGAAGTCGAAAAAGTGAAAAATTTTGAAAATTATAATTATTATTACATTCATATTTAAAACGGAAATTTGAAAAATTGCAAATCAAAAATTGAAGAAACGAATAATTTATAAATCGAGGAACTGAAAAATCTAAAATTGAAAAAACAAAAAATTAAAAAATCTAAAAATTGGAAAATCCACAAATTGAAAAATCCAAAAATTGAAAAATTTCACTTGAAAAAAGAAAAACTATAAAATCAGAACATTGAAAAACCAAAAAATTGAAAAATTAAATATTGAAAACGCATAAAATTGTAAAACCAAAAACTGAAAATTATGTATTTTTTTCCTAAAAAATAGATTAACTTTAAAACGGATCATTTGAAATAGCCGTCATTTTCAAAATTTACCTCCAAAGTGAAACGTAGTATACACACGTTCTTCCCAAGGGAGATAATTTTAGCCTAGACAAGATCTGGTTGCAAGCCATCAATTTATATACTGATATAATAATACACAATGTTTTATAATTTTCTACAAATACCATGCGATTAAAAGCAGATTCATCGACATGTTAACTATTAAAGTGCATACACAATGCACTCGTAAAGTATTCGACGAATTTGATAAAACAGAGTAAAATAGAACATTAAATAATCAAAATATTTCACGATAATATATTTTCAAATATATTCCAGAGTTTCAATTTTTTTTTTTTATTTGTGCGTAATATTGCGTGTAGTCATTGTAAAATTTCGTATTTTTACGAAAATCTAACTTACAATTCAAAGTTCAAAGATGTCCAAATTGGCGGCTTATTTTCACAGTACACTCATTTACTCTGTACTCAATTTGATAATGATTATAATTGCGACAAGGCGGCAAATCTGCCAATCATTTCTTAATTAATCAGCGGGATGCGACACAGTTTGTAAGCCACAAAACTGGCGGCGCAGTTGGGTCTCGTCGGCGCAGTTGGGATGCATCAGTCATTTATTGACGGTGTGCAAAACAGTTAGGAATATTTGTGCAAATTCACAATCACCTTTGAACTTTCAAATAAGAAATTCGAGATTGTAAACAATTTGCGCAAGTTTCGGCGTATTTTTGACATTTGATTGGATGTAATCGAGCCCATGATCACAATGAAGCGCAAAACGCCGCATAAGAAAGATACTGTAAACATAACACAAAAAATGAAAATGACCGAAAATGAGTGGTCGTAAAAACGTCGCGGAATTGATGTAAATTGATGATTTAAGTGCCGCATGTCCATTATCATAACAGTGTTTTTTTTTATTGGGTTTTAATTACTGCTTTGCATGTGGTTGTTGTTGTGATTATATGCACACAAAATTCATTAGATTAACACATATTGTTGACGTTGTTAAATACTTACGAATAATAAGAATCAATACTGTAATGATTTTCTTTCGTTGCAGGATTGATTAATTAAGGAAATTGCAAACATGTGTGTTCGGAATACACATTACATTACTATATGCGTCAAAACTTTTCAACAGAAACGCATCACATGAGCAAGGTTGTTTATATGACGTGGCATACCCGTAATAATCATACTATTAATTTTATTAGGTGGCAAATTACAGCAATGTTGTGTCTGTCTGCACATACCAGTATATTTTCCCCATGTTTCATATGAATCGATTAGTTTTCATTCCAATGTAGGTAGCAAGCGGTCTTTACATAATTACACTTGAAATCTAATTAATTAAACAAAGCTTCCTGGAACCAGTAAAATGTGTTTATATGCTCACTGATTATCGCCCGGATTAACGCTAAGACTGTTAGAAGATTTTTCAACAGTAACTGATAAATAAATCGCCGTCCTTGATTCAATAATCGTTCTAGACACCCAACAAGGAAGAATATTGTTTCATTTTTTTTGCGAAGTTGCATATTTAAGCGCCTAGTTGCTTTGTTAGGAGTCTGCCGCTAATTGTCCTTTATTTTCGCATCACCGTAGCCATTCCAAGCCATTGGTTTAATCAATTACCATCGTAGTAGTGAAATTACCGCACAGGTGCTAACAAGGTACTAACACGCACTTCCAATGAAAATCTTCAAACAGTGATTCCCATTAGAATCGATTGTTTTGGTCGCGACAAAGGTGTTTACGATGCGTTTTGGGTTAAACTGGATAAACGTCACCCACTTTTTAATCTCTCGGTAAACAAAATTATAATTTAGCTGTTATCAGACGTCTGTTTATCCGCTCTGTTTGCTCGAATTAAAAAAATAACTCGACTTGTACGACCTCAGTATTGTCTTTCAGGCGATTCAAAAATGACTCTATGCACGATTCCGACGGTCGGCGTCAGGCCGCCCCAGGTGAGGGAGCGGCGTCCAGGGAGGCCTCCGAGCGGGAAACGTCTTGCCATGGTCAGAGATATGCCAGCCAAAGTCCGATCGGCCTTCAGACGCAGTCTGGATCCATGTGATAATTCCAACGATAGCGGTTTAGGGTGAGTATTTATTAGTGCCATGGGTTTTATGATCTGTAAAAAATTTATCGAAATATTTTAAGAGGGATGTAATTAAGTTATATATCATTATAGGTGATAAACATTTTATTGCAAAATATCGGCACGTTGTTGAGATATGGATAATTAAGAAGGGTGCTGTAAATTTTTATCTGCCGAAAGTGACACTTCGACAGGGATTATTTTCTTCGGCAGGGAATACACAATGTAGGGGAGACGGAGCTATGAGTATTAAAAACTGCTAGTTTTTTTTGGCAACAATCTCCGTGTTATTTTTCTAATTTAAGTTGTTAGAAATGTTTATAACATTTTCAAAATTTTGATTGATTTTTTTTATTTATATTTTATATATTCATTTCTGGGCATTAAACGAACAGTTTTAATAAATCCCTTATTTGTCATGTAAACATAATATTAAAGATATAAATAAAGTAATCAGGAAGTAAATTTATTGCCTGTATATTGAAAATTTTCATTACACACTTTATTTACAGTAAAATTTATTTTGTAGCGAAAAGTATTTTTCGGTGGATTGAGATTGACGGCCGCCTTTTTGTGTCACAAAACTGCACTCGGATGAGGCGACATCTTGCGAACAGTGCTTTATATATTGTATAAAATCAACAAACACAAGACCAGAAAATAAACGGTAAAAATTGAAGAAATCGACCACCTCACTACTAAAACAAAGTTATATTAATTTTTTACTTCCCGAGCGTAAGCTAATTGTAATCGACTCCATCGACCGATTTTATATTTTCTCGACCTTTCATGACCCCTAGACTACGAAGAAATAGGTCTCCCGTTTCTAACCCTAACCAAAATTTAACTCATCATTCCCACCAAGAGTTTGATGACATCGTCTCCAAAATTTACAATAGTAAATTTGTTTCAAATTTTATGACATGAGATACGTCTGTGCTGAGTTTTCACCCTAGACATCCAAAATTTTGGGAAAAAAATCAAAATTGTATAACAAAATTTTGCAATTTAACTTTGAAACTGCAAAACCGAATGCTCTGAAATCTTACGAAATCTTAAGTTTATCGTAATCATGATAATCATTTTTCGATTTTTCAGTTACACAATTTTTAATATTTAGATTTTTCGTTTCTTCAATTTTCCAAGTTCATGATTTTTAATTTTCATTTTCTTGATTTTATATCACAATTTTTCGTTTATTCAATTTTGCAATTTTTCGATTTTTCATTATCCGATTCCTTTAATTTTCAATACTTCGATTTTACAATATTTCGTTTTTTCGAGTTTACACTTTTTTGATTTTTAAGTCCCAATATTTAATCTTCGGATTTTTCTATTTTTCCTTCCTTTCGTTTCAAGTTTTCAAATTTTTAGATTTTTCAAAGTTTTCATTTTTGATTTTCAATTACATAATTGTGCAGTTTTCCTTTTTTTTTTTCGAAAAGTTAATAAATCCAAAAATTGAAAAATAGAAAAACTAAAAAATCTAAAAAGATTGAAATATTAAAAAACTAAACATCAAGAAACTTCAAAATCGAAAAAAATTAATGAATCGGAAAATTGGAAAAAAGAAATAACGACTCAAAAATTATAGAATCGAAAAAATTGTAAAGTTGAAAAACTGGAACACTGAATGATCCGAATAATTGAGAAATTAAAAATCGAAAAATTGAAAAATTATTTATTTCATTTTTCGAAAAAGTTTTAAAATCCAGTACTCGAAATATGGAGAAATTCTAAAATCGTAAAATGAAAAACCGAAAAAATTTTTAAATTATTGTCATTACATAATTATCTATACATTTAAAATGAAAACTATAAAATTGCAGATCAAAAATTGAAGAAATGAAAAAATGAAAATGGAAAAACCGAAAAATCAAAAATTGAAACATTCAAAAATTGGGAAATCAAAAAATTGAAAAATTTAAAAATGAAAAATCGAAGAGTTGCATATTGTAAAAGTGAAGAGACAGAAAATCGAAAAATTGCAGTTCGTAAAATTGAAAAAGTTGAAATTGAAAAAGTTGAAATTGAAAAAATAAGAAATCATAAAATCGGAACATTGAAAATCAAAAAATTGTAAAAATAAGGAAAATGAAAAATTAAAGAACGAAAAAATTAATGAATCGAAAAACTGAATAAACAGAAGAAAAGGAAACATTGAAAAAACAATTATAAAATCATTGAAAAATTCAAAAGTTGGAAAATTGAAAAACTGAAAACTCGAAAAATTACAAATCGAAAAACTACAGAAACGAAAAAAAGGAAAATTGAAGAATTAAGAAAAAATATGGAGCAATTCTAAAATTGTAAAATGAAAAAGCGAAAAATTTTTTTTCAAAATTATTATTAGTATTACATATATATACATTTAAAATGAAAACTATAAAATTGCAAATCAAAAATTGAAAAAACGAGAAAGTGAAAAATGGAAAAATTGAAAAATTTAGAAGTTGAAAAACTGAAAAATCCAAAATTTGAGAATTTTCACATTGAAAAAAAAAATGTCAAATTAGAACATTGAGAACGCGAAAAATTGAAAAAATAAATAAAATAAAAAACCGAAACGAAAAATTGCGAATCGAAAAATTGAAAAATTAAAACCTGAAAACACATGAAACTGCAAATCCAAAAATCGCAAAATGTAAAATTGAAACATCCAAAAAGTGGTAAATCAAAAAAGTGAAAAATTTAAAAACGAAAACTCGAAGAGTTGCATATTGTAAAAGTGAAGTAACAAAAAATCGAAAAATTGAAACGAAAAATTGAAAAAATAAATCGTAAGATCGGAACATTGAAAAATCGAAAAATTGTAAAAATAAAGAAAATGAAAAATTAAAGAAACAAGAATTACACAATCGAAACATTTCAAAATCGAAAAACTGTACAAATAAAGAAAATGAAAAATCGAATAATTGGAAAAATGAAGAAAAAAAGTACGGAAAGGAAAAATTGCAAATCGAAAAATTAAAAAGTTCAAAAAGTTGGAAAATTGAAAAACTGAAAAAATATGGAAAAATTCTAAAATCGTAAAATGAAAAAGCGAAAATTTTTAAAAATTATCATTGTTACATATGTATACATTTGAAATGAAAACTATAAAATTGTAAATCAAAAATTGAAGAAACAAAAAAGTGAAAAATGGAAAAATCAAAAATTGGAAGAACGAAAAATTAAAAAAAAATCACATTGAAAAAAAGAAAAATGATAAAATTAGAGCATTGAAAAATAATTAAAAACTGAAAACTCGTGTAACTGGAAATCCAAACATCGCAAAATCTAAAATTGAAACATCCAAAAATTCGAAAATCAAAAAACTGAAAAATTTAAAAATGAAAACTTGAAGAATTGTGTATTGTAAAAGTAAAGAAACAAAAAATGGAAAAATTGCAATTCGAAAAATTGCAATTCGAAAAATTGAAGAAGCGAAAATTATAAAATCGACACATTGAAAAATCGAATATGTAATTGAAAAATAAAAAAATAAAATACAGAAAGGAAAAATTGCAAATCGAAAAATTGAAAAATTCAAAAGTTGGAAAATTGAAAAACTGAAAAATTTAAAATTGAAAAATCGAAATGATTGCAGAAACAAAAAAATTAAAATTTGAAGAATTGAAAAAAAATCGAGAAATTCCAAAATCGTAAAATGAAAAAGCGAAAAATTTTAAAAATTATTATTATTACATATGTATACATTGAAAATGTATGTATAGAATATTAAAATTTGAACATTGAGAAGCCGAAAAATTGAAAAAATAAATAAAATAAAAAACCGAAACGAAAAATTGTGAATAGAAAAATTAAAAACTAAAAACTCGGGCAATTGCAAATCCAAAAATCGCAAAATCTAATATTGAGTTGTATATTGTAAAAGTGAAGAAACAAAAAATCGAAAAATTGAAGCAACAAAAATTATAAAATTGAAACATTGAAAGCCAGAATAATTGGAAAAATAAAGAAAATAAAATACCGAAAGGAAAATCGAAAACTTGAAAAATTCAAAAGTTGGAAAATTGAAAAACTCACAAATTTAAATTTGAAAACTCGAAAAATTACAAATCGAAAAACTGCAGAAACAAAAAAAAATACAAAATTGAAGAATTGAATTCTTTTTTATAGAGATTATCAGAAAACAAAAATTGCAAAAAGTTTTGACAATTTTTCGAAGAACCAGGACTTCTTGGCTTACACTTCAGGTGCGAGAAAGTTCTGTCAAAATAACCTTCCGATCTTTTTTTGTTTGTGTTAATTATTAACATCTTTAACGTCAGTCGATTTTACTTCTTTATTTATCAATGAAAGGTCGAATTAAAGAAAGCTAGTAAAAAAATAATAATTGCGCACATGAAAGTGCTACCGATTTTTTTCTAATAGAAAGTTCTGTTGTAAAAGAGTTGTAAATAAAAAAATATCATTGACGGAATAAATGTTTCATTAATTAATTATCATTTACATTGGAATTCAAATGCCCGCCACAAGGTGATAAAAAAAAAACAAGAATGAATAGTATACCGTAACTGACTATAAGATATTTTTAACAAGGATCCTGAACTGTTTTCTCTTTGTTTTTTATTTTGGTTTTTTCATTTGTATTTTGATCGAAAAATCTGCCAAACAAAGAAAAGAAATTTAGCTGTTGCTCCTGGCCTGGCCATATATTTAAATATACTAAAACATAAAACCCATAAAGTGAACTTTTAGTTACTGCATTTCCTGATGGATGGTGTTGTAAGATGTAAGAGTTTGACACAAAAGAGCTATTATAAAAATGACTTCGTTGCAAGCATTATTATGCCCCGGTGTCCCCTATTCGAGTCAAAACGCGCAGCAAACAGAGACTATATTTTTGTTGTGCTTAATGTAACCGTAAATACAAATTTCGGATTATGATTCCCAATGGATTGCATTACTTATAACGCAAATCTCGCCGTCCTTTTCGCCTGATCCCATGCATAAATGCACTTTTCTTCAAAATTTATTGTCGACGCAAGAATGCGTTGAAGTTGATCCAAGTTTTAAATAAAATACCCACATTTCGCACTCAGTCTTCCAAGTTTCTTGAAAGTCGCCTGCTTGGGGAAGTATGTCGCATCCGTTGTAACTAACCAAGACGGCCAATAAAACATTTATTAGCATGAATTTTTGGCGGATGAATCACAAACTAGCCACTACTCATAAAGCAAAGTGCGAAATCACCTCGCTTTGCTATTTGCACCATTAACTTTTATGAAAAAACACTAACTTTATTTTTATCGTTTATTTTTAGTTTCGAACATCATGCAGATCCGCACCATCTTAACATGTCGGATAGACTTACGTGGAATGGCGAACGCGCGGAAGCCAAAAGGCTCAAAATGGACATAAAGTTGGAGAATGAGGAGGTGAATGATAGATATTGCTTTCCTGACACAGTGAGGAACTGCAAAGAAAGCACATCGTAAGTTGTCGCACTCCGTTGATTGATTTTTCTAATTTTAATATATGTGCGTTAATAAATGATTGATTTTTTGGGGGATTTTAGACTGATTCGTACTGCCCCCGCTGGCTCGATACCCTCGTTAAGTATGAATAACAATCCGACAAGTTCCTCGGGTAGGGCAGTTCCTAGATGTATACCTCTCTCGAACAGACAACCGAGCTCCTCACCAGTTCCTCTCACTACACAATTAAGTACTTCTTCCAAATATGGTAAGTCGGATTGATGACTATCAAGAAATACACCACTCATTGTTCGTATTAGTTTCAGACGTGAGCTTGACGATAGTTAAACAACCAGAGCAGCAGCACAGAGCGAGGTATCAGACTGAAGGCAGCAGGGGCGCTGTAAAAGACAGGGAAGGCAACGGATTTCCTATAGTGCAACTAATTGGCTACTACAAACCTACAACTCTACAGGTAGGCTTAACTATTAAACAGGAAATTCAAAACTCGAGACCTTCAAAGACCCGTACCGTTCCACATAGACTTGGCCCGCGTCCTCCCTCTCTCCTTATTGTCTTAGATACGCTGATATTGTTTGAAATTCCTCCAAAAAAAGTTGACTTGTGATAATACACTTTGTACTTTTAAAACGTATACTGTAAAAATTCTCTTTTTGGAAAATCGCGTTGGAGGTGCGAAACAATCGAATCAACATTTGCATTTTGTGTTGTGCTTTGAACGGGATCCGTTACGTAAACACAATCTCAGTGTTTTATTTTTGAACGTCCCGGCAATGAGTCGCATGGTTTTACACCCGGCCCCGCCCAAGGTTTTTTGGCTGATACTTTAGTTTTTTTTGACAAGCAGTGGACATTAATTTAACAGATAAGTGTATTTACGATGTTTGCGTAACAACTCCTCAATGAAATTAGTTCCAAAGCTTTGTGGTAAAGTCAAATTGGAAAGCTCTACCTAAAGTGTAATTTTAATAGTCGGTTAATTTCTTTAAAATAATCGGGCGAACGAAATTGCTTACTTTACCTCTGTTTTACTAACAATTGACGTCTTCGTTGGGTTGTCTGTGTATTTGTTTAAGCGATTTGTGTGCACTACCTAAGATTTCGTGTATTTTGGTTTTGAATCCTACACACGTCGTTGAGATAGACATTTTACAACTCTGAGTCGGTCTAGATAAGTTTGGAGATGTTTTTCTTTTTACGTTAAAAAACACGAAGTTGGATCTCGAGGTATAAAGTAGTAGTAATTCTTCATCTCGTCAAGGTTCTTTTTCGTCATTTCCTGAAGTTCTGTGACATTTAATTCTACAGTTTTTTCTTGTTGTTGGTTGCGCAATATTTTCTTTCCCATTCATGTTATTACCGGTGTATCTCGACTTGTAAACTAGCGTTTCAACATTCATATAGTCTCTCAGACTTCATTCCTATCTTGTAGTTGGTTTTATGACACGCCCGAACTTGTAGAAACTTCATATTAAGGCTTGCGTACGACCGTAATTAGAATGGAATTACATCGGTATTGTAGTCTACATATTATTTATTCGTTAATACTTGGTTTGGTGAAGGAATAGCCTCTGGCCATGTGGCAAAATAATCTAACAACGCCAACAAGTATCTGTTGTTTTATTTCCTAGTCCTGGAATTTCCAAAGCTACGAAAGTGTTGTAAGGGGGTGGATCTAACGGAATGGATTTTTTTTCTAGAATGTGAAAAAGTAGGTCTTCCCTAAATTTTTGAAACTACTACCGATTGTTTTGTCTGATCATCTCCACCCGCCAACGTCGTGTCAAAATTTTGTTGTTGTCTGTAGAAACAAGATTTTACAATATTTTACACTTTACAGTTTTTAGGTTTTTTGGCCTGATGGACAATTAAAATGAGATAAGACCCTCTTTTTGTGCGACAGTTTCGTCTAGGTTTTTTTTTTGACATGACGAAACTGTAGCATAAAAAGAGGGTGTGATCTCATTTTAATTGTCCGTCATGCCAAAAAACCTTTTTCCAACATTACCCAAAATCAAAATCCAAATTCCGGACAAGAAAAAAGTACCATAATAATGTATGCATATTTTCGTTGTAAGCATGCAAATTTTCCTTAAAAAATCAAAAAAACATTTTTCACAGTTTGTCTTACGATCTACGAAACTAACATTTTTTGAAATTTTGGCGATTTTTTTTTATAGTTTATTAATATGGATTTCATAATTACAGAACTACGATTAAAATTTATTTATTCAACCGCTCTTAAAAGTTAATGACGTCCTCGGGAAAAATCTTAAGTAAATGTTTATGTTTTTATCTTTTACAATTATTTATATACGACTCATTTAATTTTATTGTTAAATAAAAAAAATTTCTAATGTTTCTAAAGTGCTGGGAGCACCGTACAATCTTTTATTTTAATGTATACGGAGGTGTCGTCGTAAAAATAAAATTTTCAGAATAACGTTTTATAATTTTTCCCAGAAAGTGAGTTTGTTTAACTGGTGGAGGGGCGAGGGAACTTCCTTTTAATAATACTTAATGAGGTTTAATTAAGCTTTTTTTTTACGCATTTTAGCAAGGCGACGATAATTCACACCAACATACATTATATAAATGTGGTTCTAAAATTTTAAGAAAATTATTAAATTTGTATTTGAGATAATCGATAAATGTAGTTTTTTTTTTTTAGTTACTTTTGGTTTATGGGATTTTCAATATATTTTCAGAACGTAATTTCTGCGTTATTAACAGACCTGTGTCGTATTATTTTTCATCACTTGTCTTTAAAAACATCAATATCTCTATTATTTATGGAAATTTCGTAACACAGTTTTCACGACTGTTTTCAGCTTAGGTACTCTTTACATTATCCAGGAAACATTGCCGCTTTTTTGTTGAGATCCATATAAAAGAAGTTTGTGTCGAAGAAGCTGCTTTTACTGTATTTCATTTTCAACACAAGAAATTGATGTTTTCTACGTAATTTATAGGCTTTTGTAAGCTGAAAACAGTGGTTAAAACTGGGTTGTGAAATTTCCATAAATATGTGAGATATTGAATTTTAAAAATACGTGATGAAAAATTTCGCCAAAACTTTAAGAAGAATGATGATGTAAACTGTTTTTTAAAAACACTGTGTACAACTTATATTTAAAAATGAGATATTACATTCTGAAAATGGGATTTAATTTTTATGGAACATCCTATATAATAAGCAATTTTCTAAAAAATTAAAAATGTTAGTAAGGGATCATTATTTTTCAATAATGATTGACGTAATAACATTCGAGATGACGTCGTTAACTTTTCAGAGGGGATGAATGAAAATAGATTTGGATTTATTATGAAACAACAAGAAAATTGAATGTTTTTTGAGCAATGGTTCTCAAAGATATTTGCAATTTTATAGAAGAAAAAAATCCTTTTTAAAAATTCTCAACTCTAATTAATTTCTAAAAAGCTTTGGAATTTTGCACAAAAATTTTTAATCGCCTTGCCTATATATAAAATATAGGAATTGAATAAAATGATTTAATTTCCCCTATTATTTAAATGGAACACCTGTATTTTAAAACACTTTCAAATGTATTTAAAAAAAAAATCGAAAACTGGTTCAAAATTTAGCGTGTTCCAAAAACAAAAGAAAATTGACAATTTGAAATTGAATCACTCTGAATAAATAAATATAGATCTTATTAGGTATGTCTGTCAAAGCAGAATGACTAAAAATATTGATGCAAATTTTACACTTCCATTTTTAAAAATGGCGAAGTCATGGATTATGACTATTGACTCTTACGTTTAATACAATTTTTAACTTCTTTTTTCATAATGGCTCTAAATATGCAAAAATATACAGGCTGTTCCAAAAGTGACACATAAGCTGGATGGTATGATTTTAAGAAGGCTCTGAAGAATTAAAAAAAAACTGGTTAACAAAATCTTTGGACTTAATGTTTGAAACTCCATATTACACTTAAAAATTGAAGAACTAACTTCGTAATTCTCATATATTTTAATGTAAATTTAATTGACAATCTAAAATTCCGATGAAAGTAGTCAAAAATGACATTTGTCAATCGCATTGTAGATCGTATTCTAGCAATTGATTAATTTCTAAAAATGGAGCTTTGAAATCTTGCATAAACATTTTTTAATCGTGTTGCCTCCACATACATATAAATCTCGAATAAAATTATTAAATTTCTCCTATTATTTAAATGAGACACCTTATTTTAAAACACTTTCAAATTTATTTCGAAAAAAAAAATCGAAAACTGATTCAAAATTTAGCGTGTTCCAAAAACAAAAGAAAACCAACAATTTGATATTGAATCACCCTGTGTAAATAAATAAATATAGATCTTATTAGATTTGTTTGTTAAAGAAGAGTGACTATTGATGCACAATTTGAACTCCCATTTTTTAAAATGGGGAAGTTATAGATTTTTAATTACTTATGACTATTGACCCACCTAATACACTTTTTAACTTTTTTTTTCATTATGGGTCTAAATATGCAAAAATATACAGGTTGTTCCAAAAGTGGCACATAAGAATTAAAAAAAAAAATTGTTAAAAAAAATCTTTGGACTCAATTTTTGAAACCATTAAACTTCAGAATTGAAAAATTAACTTCGTAATTCTCATATATTTTAATGTGAATTTAATTGACAATTTAAAATTCCAATAAAAATTGTCAAAAATGACATTTGTCAGCAGTAAAAATTGACATTGTGGATCGTATTCTAGCAAATTCAACTGTCTATTAGACATGAAATTCATTAAATTAAACAAATCAAAAGTACGAAGTTGATTCTTCAACTTTGACGTTTAATATTTTAAAAGATTTTGTTCAGGAATTTTTAAACCGTTTTTTTCGACTTCTTCAAGAACCTTCTTATCAACGTACCCTCGAGCTTATGCGTCATTTATGGAACAGTCTGTATAGAGCATTTCATAAAACAAAAACAACTTTGATGCGTAATCTTTAAAAGAATAATTTATAGTTTTCGTTTGGAATTATAAGTCTACAAATTAGACAATAATTTTCACATTTTGCTCTCGTGTTCTACATCTTCAAGATTTGTTCTTTCTTCAGGATGAATACCCCAGAAACTATTTTAAATCGAACTTCTTCCCATGCAGTTCTTCAACACACAGTTTCACTTTACAACGTTGCATTTCATTTAATAACTGCAGAGATTCATTCTTTATAAAGCAACACTTGGTCTGCTTCCAAAGAGCGAACTTTCTCTGCAAACAAAACTAGCATGTCTTCGAAGTATTACAACTTTATCATAACATTTCGCTTTTCTTTTACTGTTGTTACTCCAGGCTGCTTGGAATTTCTTCAAATTTGTAACTTGAATTTAAATTATTATTTGTGTCGATAAGTTCTTGTTGTTAATAATTTAATAACAAAAACAGTTTTTGGCCAAGTAGTAAAGAAAGCTTAGCACTATTAGAAAAACAGGTATCAGCTTCACGTTCATTCGAAAAACTGCGTTATGTTTAGCATGCTTCGAATTCGATTAAATTAAAATCAAAAAACGAACATTCCCGAAAACCAAGGAAAATTGCAATTTAACAGTTATTCGCAATTGAAAATCAACTTTCGATGGAAGCAGAAAAAGTATACCGGATGTGGCAGTTTTTGGCTGCCCTCAACCAAAACCTAAATCCTTGATGATAATAATAATCCGAGCCGCATCTTCACTCCCCCACCAAATCTAAATTCTCCTAAAACGTAACTAGTCGTGGGCTGCCATTTCCACCCCAAAATACACTTTCCACCATTGATAATACATCCCTGCGGAGTCTCCGTGGGTTGTGGCATTTGAGCTTCCGTTTTTAGCCAAAGCTTATTTAAAATTTCGTTAGGTATTTATCGGAACCGACGTGGGCAAGGTAGCTCCGCACATGTTCTACCAAGCGTGTAAGGTCAGCGGCAAAAACTCGACACCTTGCATTGAGAAAAAAATCGACGGCACGTGCGTGATCGAATTGCAATTGGACCCATCGAAAGACATGAGTGCTACCTGCGATTGCGTTGGCATATTAAAGGAGCGGAACGTCGACGTGGAGCACAGGTTCCCGGAGCAGTTGGGCAACAGAAGTAAAAAGAAGTCGACGAGATGTCGAATGATTTTTCGCACCACGTTAACGCACGATGATGGATCGCTGGAGACGCTGCAAGTTTGCTCGCAGCCTATCGTTTGCAGTAAGTCCGAGTGAGGATGTCCGAGGGGTGTGTTCACGGTGCTTGTTTCAGCTCAGCCCCCAGGGATCCCCGAAATCTGCAAAAAGTCGCTCACTTCGTGTCCGGCGAGCGGAGGGTTGGAGCTCTTCGTTTTGGGTAAAAATTTCCTCAAGGATACTAAAGTCTACTTTCAACAATTCGACGACGAGAGGCATGTGAGGTGGGAACAAGCCGTTGTTCCCGATAAGGAGTACCTGCAGCAGGTATGACAATTTTTTTGTACATATATATTGTATATTTGTATTAAATAACAGTCCTATACGCGTAGTTTATGCATCCGGGTTGAGTTTTTACCCAAAACGTTTTAAAATAAATTTAATAAAATTATTCACTCTAATTTTTGTTATCAAATTAGAGTCACCCCATTTTCTTGAAAATGTGCGAATACGCACGTCTTTATTTAATAATGATTAAATAAGAATTCATTTAAATCAAACTAATTTCTAGGTGACAGTCTTCTATGTATAAACATAAACATTTCAAGTTATTGCTGAGAGGTCATTTTTACTTATTGCGCATAAGCTAAGGAAGCGTAGTAACTTTGTACTTTCATAATAAAAAAAATCGTTGCGTATCCAAAATTCACAGTTAACACCGGATTCACTGAACTAACTGGGATTTTTGTTTCAGACTCATTTCGTGTGCGTAATACCACCATATCGTAGACCTGACATAAATGAACCAGTTACAGTTAGGTTGTGTGTCGTATCTAGCGGCAAAACAAGCGAACCACACCAGTTTGTATATACCCCTGTTAATGGGGCCATACCGAGCGGTAAGATAGCAATAATTCTATTTCTTGGCAGTTTAACAAGCGATTGATTTAATACTGTTGATTTTGGTGGACACCTGTCAAGTGTAGATGAGTCAGAAAGTAAACAGTGAGCGTGTCTCGATCAAAACAACGACGAAAAATTGAGTCAATCTGAGCTTTAGCATGCGCTGCACGAAATTAATTGGATGTGAAAGCTTGGAAAGTATTACAAGAGCACAGATTTAGTTTGCAGACTAAACTATTTTAATTTTTGGAATTTTTAAGAATGGAAGTTTTGGATTTGTAGTACTTTTTCAAGTGTGAATGAAACTGGAAAACTGTTCACACAATGTTTTGTTGTTGTAACTTTTTTTTTTTTTTTCAAGTTGGTGTTTTATAAGAACAGTGTTCTAGTTAGTATTGTCACATATATCCTGAGGAGGCAAATTTACATTATAGACTGAATGCGAATGACTGGTTGCAAGACTGAGGTTTATGGTTGTTGAAGAACGAATGTTGCGCGTCTGTCGAGTACAAATGACCAGTGTGAATGTTGTAATGTGTATTTGCCCCAACTATTTCAGATAAGGGTTATTTTGCAGATAGTCATTCACATAGAGTTGTTTCTCGTTTGAAGTTAAAATGTTTGAGAGACTGTAACATAACCCTAAATTTTCAGTGGCTTTGGAAGCAGAACATGTTTCATATCTTGTATTTTTTGTGTTTTATTTAGGTAGAATTCCGCAGATTGCATCATATTTTACAAGTAAAAGTACAATACTATATATTTCCTTATGTATTGTGTAATATATATATAAAATGACATGTATGCATTCCTTTGAGATGTATTTTATTACAAATTTATTGTACTTTGATTTCTTTGAAATGTAATTATTTTAAAGACACTCTGTACCTATTTAAAAACATTACGTATTTGCAATATGTAATGCCAAAGCCAGTTTTATTTATTTCATGTTGTACTGTAAAATCTTTTGACTCGAGCTCCGCCCTTCCAGCAGCGATTCCAGCCACCGAGAGTTGGGTCAAAAAATTTTACAATTGCTTGTGTCGATTTTTCGACCATTTTTCTGTATGAGATGCAAAGTTGTTATAAACAAATTTCAATTGCGTTTGCTTTCACTTTGTCTCATACAGCATACAGACTCTGTATACGCAGAGGGGCCGCCTGCCATCGTCTTCTCTCAGCCTGCGGGGCCTAACCTACGCCGATGACGCGTCATTCAGGTTCTAGTTTCACGGGTACTTAAAAAAACACACGATACATCACCACACACCTACACACGTACACACACATACACCACATATTTTCTTTTTCAGGAACAATATTACTGTTTCAGTTCAATCATTATCATGTGTTTTGCGGTCGGTAAGTGAATTTTATTTACAGTTCGATCATCGCCTCTGCTTTTCCTATCAGCCGCTCACACTGGATCAAGTTTTAACGCAATAAATTCTCATTCACTCGAGAACTGGAACAGTGCGATTGCGCGAATATTTGTTCCGAAAAGAATACGTACACAAGATACATTTCACACAACACAACTAAAACAAGCGTTGTACTTGTTATCATTACACTATACCTACCCTTAATTTTAATTTACACTATAAATTTTTAAACATCATTATTTTAAGTTCATCTTTACAGTTAAGCTCTTACATGTAGATTTTCTGTTATAAATGTAATTTTAAGTTATGCCAAAAAAGAGATAGTAACAGCCAGTCAGTCCCGGATATGTCGTTAAAATAATAATTTAGGTACGCCACTGCAGAGGATAGGTTTTTTTCTTTTACAGGGATACCGACTTCAGACACGACCCTGTTTTCGACCCGTAATGTTAACGCACGGCGTAGATGAGATGACAGGTTTATGGATGTGTTTTTAGGAAACTATTAATCCTATTATCGCCAAATTCCATTTATTTCCTTAAAGAATTCTCTCTACAATCGATTTTATGTGGGATTTTGGTGAATGGTAATCTTAAGATCATTATCATGCTTCATATTCCGAAGGACGTTACGGTTTTCACAACAAAAGTGCCGTTTGCGTTGTTAAGTTGGTGAAATAAGTCAAATTTATGGAAACTTTTTGTGAGGGGCTAACTTGTGTAAGTCGAAGGCACGTGTGGAAAGCGGTAGCATGTTTTGACGAATTTGGAGCTTGCAGTGCTTTATAAATATCTCACTGAAAGTCTCCGCGGTTTGATTCATTTCGTAGATTTAATGATGGAAAGGCAGTTTTGCTGGAAAATCACCACCTCATTCGTATGCGGGATGAGATCTTGACCGTTTCGCATAATATTGTTTCGTGATTGACACAGATTTCATCCCCCATCACGTCTTCACTAAGTGTAAATTTTTGATTCGTGCATACACTGACACCACACCCATTACTGACTTAGTTTTAATTTTATGTTAGACGTTAGTTTTAATTGGGTTACACATTAACACCCGGCCTCACCCACGATTTATTTTTCTAATCACGACCTGACCTAAACTAAAATTATTTCAGGCTATGTTGAGAGTTAGTTTTCCCATAAAATTGGTGGTGGAATGAACGGCGGCTACTTTTAAACGCATCATTTTCGCTGGGGGTAGAGAGGTTTCTTATTCTACGATTTTGTCCGAAAATCTTAGCCTGAAGTATTTGAATATCATATTATACTTGTCATGATCCTTGAATCCTTTACTGTAGGATTAGTTGAGTATGACACAAGGACAAGTGGAATGAAAGTGGTCTGTAACAGGTCGCTCTGAGTCGGTGAACGTATGGGGCGTTAACATTGTGGGTTATGTCTATCAAGCCATTGCCTTTGTTATTCATACACACACATACGCCAAATGGCAAGTCAGTATTGGTGCGTGGCTTGAGTGGCAACGCCCCCCCTTTTTTTACAGTGGCTTTGACGGCAGCTATTAGTTATAACATGCCAGTGTACGCTTGCTCGTTCTTATACAGTTTTCGTATCTTACAGTTCACGTCGATCCTCCGCCTGCTACACCGCAAGCACCGTTTTTTAACAAGATGCCTTGGTCGTCGAACATTAGCAAAAGAGAGCAAGATTTGGGCATGATGCCCCCACCAGAATCCAGCTTGGTGCCTATGGCACCCCGTCGCCCTTCCATCAGCTTACCATCGACCAGCGAGAACCTCTCTCCTCCCTTGCGCACCCTCAAGCAAGAGTACATCGACGAGAACAGCCAAAGTTCCGTCATTGACTCCATGGATCACCCGGAGCGCTTCAGACACATCTCCGAGAGCTCCCTCGACGTGCATCCGGGCGATTCCAACATGTCGATGATCAATGACAACTCCATCGATATGCTCAACCACAACAACATGTTGAACCACAACGAGAACTCCAATTTGAGCGTGAGCAACGAGGGTAGCGTAGAAATCATGGTGAGGAGAAGAGGGTCAGTCAGTAGACCAGTGTGCGAAAGCTCCATGGATGTCAATCTGAGCAACTCGCAGATGTCTACCATGAACGAAGACACGTCGTGCAGTAACGTGATGCAGCACTGCAGCAACTCGGTCGTGACAGACCGCCTAGTGCTGTCCCAGCCGCTCCTGATGCAACAAAACATGCTGGCGTCCGCCTCCCAGAACGAGGTCGGCGCCGCCACCGCGGAAGAGCTCAAAGTCATCGACTTGAGGATGAAGATGCCCATGGCCACTGTTGCCGATTTAGTCAACAGCAGTGCGCCCTCTATGGCCACCTTGCAGAGTTTCGGGGTGACCGAGGCGTCGGACGTGCCGCTTCCGGCGCAGAGCGCACAAAGCGTCGAGAATTTTCTCACGAATATCGAAACCAAGAGTATTCAGAGTCAGTTGCAGTTGAAGAGTGACGTTTCGGAGAAGATCAACGAGATTATTAACACGGAATCGAGAGGGTTCTGTTCGCCGAAGATTTTGACGTCTTCGCCTGTGGTTCCCGCGCCGACGTGCGGGAATTTGCTGCCTAATTGTACTACGAATTTGACTTCCACTAGTGAAGCGGTTTATTTGAGAGAGAGGCAGTTTATAACTGGGACCACCGAAAATGAAGGCATGCTGGTCGCGAAAAGCGAAGCTGCCGCCATCGCCGAACAAACTATATCGCAGACGAATGCTATCACTTCGTCCATTACTACATTGAGCACAATCGAAAGTTCCATCAGCGTTCCTATCAACACGGAGAAGTTAGATCAGTTGGTTAATTCGACGGTCGAGTCTCACATAGGAAGCCCCACGAGATCTGAGCAACCGAGTAAGATGGCAATGACGTCCCCGAATCCAGAAGCGTCATCGGACGTCATCCGCGACGTCATGTTGAATTCCCGGTCGAATTTGATGGTGGCTCCTATGATCAACACGACCTTATCGTCCCCGATATTAAATCATGATCTCAGCCACGCCCACACGTCTCCTAACCTATCCCCAGCAGTGATATTAAACTCCCAGATATCACCGAGTTTGATGTGTAGGAACACGCAAGATACTCTTCTTCCTAACGCCATGTGTCAACCACCGGTCACTGTAGAGTCGAGTCTGCAGCCTTCCGTGATTCCGACTCTGTTGACGACCAACCCGAATCACAGCTCCCCGTTACATTCCCCGATAGCTGTTGCCAATCCTTTAACCCTAGCTGCCGAACCCGAGAAAGCTGTGCTTATAAAAGCTGCTGTGGATTTGTTCGAGACGCAGAAGAGGATATCGGAATTGGACAGCAGGTCGAAGAATATAGATACTAAGGAACCCATGATGAACAGAATGATGGAAGATATAATGACTATGGCATCTTCTGGTGCGACTGAGGTGATGCCAACGACGAGACTAAGTCAATTACAAGGGAACAATTTTGTACAACCGCCGCTTTTAAACACCGTATCGCCACCTGAAATGGCATTGTTAAACAAAACGATAGCTCAGGACAATAAGTCTGATTTTGTTATACCAGTGCCTGTGAAAGAGATAACCGGAATATCGCAAGTTGATAAGAAGACCGAGGATCGAATGATTCCCCAGTCGTTCACGTCCCTAACCGAGAACGAACTGATCAACTTCATAAATCCGAGTTGTTTTGACCAAGGTAATAACAGCAACTTTCATTAAGCTTCTGTTAATAAGTGTTCTTTTTTTCCTTAAGTAGCACCAGTAGATACTAAAAAGTCATGAGAATTGAACTGTAGCACTAGTGGTCTGTGTATATAAATGTATTGATGGACGAAAGAAAACATCTCAAAATTAGTTGTAACAGAGAAACAATATTTATATTTTATGATAGTGTTTTGTAACTGTATGTAACACTAACTTTATTAGTTTTAACGTGTTAACCCATCTATCATTGCATGGCTTCTTTTCCTAGTTGCATCATTTTATTATCCTAATCCATTTATTTTTTTCAGTATAAATTCATTGGTGGAGGCGTCATTCATGTTCCGTACTCATTGCTGTGTAAGGTGTTATTGTTTGCATTTAAAAGCTCAGCTTATTATGATTACGATGTGCTTTTTAATTCAATGATGAGGCACTTTATACATGCAAGTTGTAATTAAGTACAAGACGTTAGTTACATTTTTTTACGTTGTTCATATGTAATGTTTACATATTTGTTGTAAGATTACCATGTCGTAATCGAGTATTATTGCGATTGCTCATCCGCAGTTTGTTCAGATATATGCCATTTTTTAAACACTTGACAAATTAATGTAGGATTTCCGCATCTATATGTGCTATTTTAAGTTTGCTCAATTAAGTAATATGCTTTCTCTATTTATACAAAACAAAAACATAAAAAGAGACTTAACTTTTCATTTGATCTGCTTGTGCAAAATTATCACTTTCGTAATGATTAGTTTCTACTTTATGTTCCATCTTGGAATTCTGTGAAATTTTAATTTTATTTTAAAAATGTCAATGCAAATAGATTTTAAGATGAAATAAAATTTCAACACAGTGTTTTCTATGAAAACAAACTGTGCATTATTTATACTTGTACGATAATTTATTTTATAGTGTTAAAAGTGTCATTAATTTAAATACGACTTCAATATTAAAGTGCTATATCTTTTTATTGTTATGTTAAAAACAAAACAAGTATAAATAATATTTATTATTGTATAATATATGTATAAATCTTGTATGGCTATATGAAACCTATTCAAGTGTTGATTGTTACAAGGTGTATATTTCAGAAAAAATATATATTGAATATAATTATTGTTTTATTTTCCCCCTTCGCACCATCACCTATTTCCTCCATTCACCCTTACTTGATTACCACGAACTGAAACTTTCTTGTTTCTTTTCAACGGAACCATTTAAAACTACTGAAGTGTAAGGCCCAAAAAAACTGACAATGCTGTAGTAAAGTTTGATGTTGTATGAAACATGATAAGAAGTTTTTCTTTAACTTAAGCGAAAAACTTTGTATGGATATGTACTTATGCACCATTTAAAGAACTAACGAATGGTAGAACTGTGGTAAAACAACTACAGTACCACCACCTTAAAGAACTAATTAAACTATAGAGCGCGTATGGCCTACAGTAGTGAAATTCGTGACAAAAATTATTCTAAACTTTGAAAGTAAAATTCGCAATACATACCAGTGAGCGCAGACAAGTAAATCCTGCAAATAAATTTTACTTTTATTAAGACAAACTTTTTATTGTGTGATACAACACACGTGAATATTTTAAACTCAGAAAGTATTTTTCTTAATATAAAAGTGAATTAATGGATTTTAAATGAGTATATACAAATGTAAAAAAATTGATTTTACGTTTTTACTCCCAAACAATAGGACAGAAATATGGCAACAGGTTCTTAGTTTCCGTCTGTCTGTCCGTGGATGCATGTCGGTTAGATTTTTTTAACCTCACACTTCAGCTTTTAACGTCATTTCAAATTATACAAACAATTAATGAAAAATCTGTCCCAACTGCAACCTTATTTTACTTTTTTAAAAATACATTTTGCCGCAGTTTTAGAAACAGCGCCTACTATTGATATAATTATTTATATCACAATTAATACAGGCTGTCATGAATAATTCGAACATCACGTGGGCACTGAATTGTTCCGCCTCTTTCAAAGTGTGTATATAACTATAGTTCTTTTTCTCTCGATCTCCGTTTTGTTTTTCTAAAAATAGTATTTTTTGCAATACGACAATGACCCAAACATATGGACTTTGCATTTAAGCTCTGCCCCTCGACCTCATAACCAATAAAAAATTATTCACAACTTTCAATAACATGGTACTTAAAACAGTTCACATGGTATTTGCTTGTAGAGAAATATGAACTCTGCATTTAAGCTCCGCCCTCAGTCTCTTGACGAATAAAAAATTAATCACAATTGAGTAGGGCGGGTGGGTGGGGCTTATCCTTTAATTTTTTTCGTATTATACAAGTCTTCTGTAAACAGTAAAATACTTAAAATATCAAAGGGTAAATTTGAGATTATAATTATTATGTTTTAAGTATCGTGTTGTTGAAAAAGAACTATACATATTCAGAAAAAGATGTCAATGATTAAGCCCCACCCACCCGCCCTGTTTCAATTCTGATGAAATTTTCATTTGTTGTTCGGTCTCGCAGATTTTTGATTTGCAATTTTTCGATATTTCAATTTTGCATTTCCTCAATTTTCAATTTGTACATATTTTCATTTTTCCTTATTTCAATTAATCGAGATTTCAGTTTGGTTTTTAATTTTTTTCAAGTTATTACTTTTTTAATGTTTCATTTTTCCAGTCTAATTTTTAATTTAATTAAAAAAAAACAAACTTATTAAAACTGAAATTATCACGATTTTACAGTTTTTGGATTTTTCAATGTTTATAATTAAATTTTTGTCAACTAATTAATTTTTAATTGCTTTCACCGCATTTATTTATATTGTGTTGACTTCGCATTTTTACCTTTTTCTTTCGATCTCCGTTTTCTTTTTCTAAAAATAGTATTTTTTGCAATACGACAATGACTCAAACATATGGACTTCGCATTTAAGCCCTGCCCCTCGATCTCGTAACCAATGAAAAATTCGTCACAATTGAGATCGGGTGGGTGGGTGGGGCTTATTATTATTTTTTTCTTAGTATGTGTAGTTTTCTTTCAATAACACGGTACTTAAAACATTTCATGTGGTAATTTCTTGTAGAGAAATATGAACTCTGCATTTAAGCTCCGCCCTCAGTCTCTTGACGAATAAAAAATTAATCACAACGAAAATTCAAAGTGGTTCAAAGTTCTAATTATTCTGACAGGTGATGACATATCTATTTTAATAAAAACTTTAAATTGTCCACCCATGTCTACCATTACTAAGAAGTGGCAAATCTGCAACATTTTTAAATTTCACAAATCGCTGGATGTCAGAAACATTTATGAAAACCCGTATATTTATTTACAAAGAACTGACGACGTCATACACAAAAATTCACGGTACTTTTTTTCTGTGAAACGGAAAAAGGTGACTTTATGTGATATTGGTTGCATAACATAAGCATGACATGCGCTAAGGGAATAATATGAAATAATATTTCAATTAACATTAATAATAGTGACAAAATATTGACAAAATATTTACAAAATATATATATATTGTGTATAAATGAAAAACTTACGTTATAATGATGTCTCGTGTAATACAACTCCGGCTATTTCTTTCCACAACTTAACCTGACTTTTCAAGTGTTAATATGAGTTCTTTATCATAACCACGTTACACCTTTAAACACGCGCAACAAACTTTTAAAATCCGGATGGACACCATTTTTTACTAAGGAAGTTCTGCCGTTTTGACATTCGACTTCGTACATGTACATTCCCTTGATCTGATTGGCTATAAATTCCCTCGTTGGTCCGAATCCGACCAACCATGTCATAGTATTTCAAAATAGCCAATGACTATGTTTCATTCTGTTTTTCTTGCAAAATTGTAATTGGTCAATGAATTCGGTCGACTGAGTTTTGCAAAGTGGAGTTACAAGCAAATGTTGCTTTGAAAGTTTCAGGTTCGCTTGTTGTAATTGCTTTTATTCACAATGCAAAGTGTGCTGTTACTTATAAACGGAAAAAATGTCTCCGTCCCGTTTCTTGTCATTATGAATCCCAAAGACAAAAATTTAGTTTTGAAGAAATGTGCATCCACAAACGAATTAGGACTTCTTAACTCAACAAACTTAAATTTACGTGAAGCCAAGTCTTACGCTGGAGCAATGGTGGACACCAAACTTTACGATTCGACTCCAAATCAGCGATATCAGGTTACGAGTTTTGACATTTTTTTCAAAAACTAACCAAAAATTAATTGTAGAATACGAAAGAAAACTCTTTAGAGTTATTTTGCAAAGATTACGATTTACAAAGAACGGATAAGAACGCTATAGCTACGAAGGATGCTGTCACTGATGAAATTTACTACATAAATGAAGAGTTTTTGGTCCAGAAAGGTAAATCATATACAGCGAATGACATTGCTTGGACCTGGAAGAAAGACTGCAGAATGTGGATGTGGAAGAACAATGTGGATTTTAAGAAGAATCGCTCAGTAGCAGAAATGAGAAAATCAGCAGCCTAGAATTTCCCATTTTTTATTCAACTTTTTTAATGAAATATAATTTTAACTTTTATAACAAAATAACATTTACTGACACGTTTCTACATATTCTAGAGGTTGATCAGCAACTTCACTGGTGTTTTCACCACACTCAAATCTTTTAAAATCAACTATGTCTATTTCATGTTCATCTAATATTTCTTTCACTGTTACATTATCATCTAATAAAAATTCTTGATGAATTAAACAAGTTTCTTCTTCTTTATCTTTTGCAGGCTTATCAGACAACGTCCCAATCTTTTTAGGATTCATTCCTACAATATGCTGACACAATTCTTTACCAACTTTGTCTAAATCTATTTCTTTGGAAGCTAATTGTTTTAGGGCTACTATTGCTCCAATTTTTCCTAATGAAACCGAACTACCACTACCTGAAGGGTGCACATATCCTGATAAGTGAACATCTTTATGAGCTTTGACCCCTAGGGCTCTTCTTAAAGATGCATTTTCACCAACTGTTCCAATCATCAATGCTAAGTGGTCTGCTAGGCTTTTACCATCTTGTGTAGGGAGGGTTTTTAATTGAGTGTCATTCATGAAAAACTATAGCAAAATTAGTAACAACAAAGCCTGGAAAAATAAACATACCCTGGTCACTGAAATATTACTTTCTGGCTGTTGCTGGGTGAAATTTAAACAACTCACAGCAGCCTCATGTACCATCTTGTGAAACTCTTTATTCCTTGCAACAAAATCTGTTTCACAGTTGACCTCAACTAGTGCGGCATTTTGTTTATCGACTGTGAGGGCTATTAAACCTTGAGAAGTTTGTCTGCCTTCCAGTTTAGTTGCTTTGGCCCAACCTAGTGACTGAGCTTGTTGTTTAAGCCACTCCTCAGCCTGAAATACCATATATAACAAAGCTATACCACCCAACATAGTATCTTACTTGTTTTAAGTCATTATTGTGCATTTCAAGTGCCTTCTTACAGTTAGTAAACGTATACCCAGTCTTCTTTCGTAACGTAGCCAAGAGGGACTTCTCGGCTGCCAAACATGGTGTTTGATTGTGGAAGAAACGCGTCAACACCTTTAGGGACATCTGCAAAACATTATCGATCACAAATTCGTAGTACTTTCTGAATTCTTGTGCTTCTTGTTACTATGACAAGTAAATAAATACTTTAAAGAGTGACTAATTCTGTGTGTGACAAATCGTTTGCCGGAAAACGGAATATTTATGCAGAAATGATGTTACTCTACTCTGACTGAGAAAAATCGGTGCGTATTTCTTACCATTTTTTTAAGTTTTAGAGCTTAAAACGCTCAAAAACGCGTTATAACCTAAAATTTGGAGGATAATTTTCCTGGAGAAAATGACATAAGAACGATGAGTGACTGTAAAACGGTTGCATGTGTCAAAATTTCAGTGATCGTCAAAAGTTGGCGGACCTTTTTATTGAGATTGAGTTACTCCATTTTATCAGAACTTAATAAATATATGTTTAAACATAACAATTAACTGTTAAGTTCCTGCCATCTCCCATGTACCTATTAATATACCATATCAATATCGATTTTTTTCAAAAGAGAAAGAGAAAAAATTATCTGTTGGAAGAACAATAAAAATGTACATCACAACTGTGTAACTGACTTCCGACTGTTGTCAAGTGCCAGTGCAGCTGATAAAACTACACCCCCAACACCAGCATATGCGAATAAACAATGCAAATGTTTCACTTACAGATCATTCCAAATTTTTTTCCACACTGTCAGTCGAAAATCATTCAAAACGGGAGAGACATGCATTTTAGATGCTCATAAAATTATGAAGATTGTCCTTATCTTGGATTATTCTTATTTGTACAAGTTACATCAGTTACAGAAATGGGTTCAAGAGGAAGAGATATCGAACGAGAGCGGTTGCTCAAAAAAATCGCTGAGAAAAGAGCACGTCTGGAAGCAAGGGGAGATCTAAACATTAAAGTTCCAAGATTAACCCTTCCATCGGATTTTAACATTGAAGATCGTAATGTCTTCAGCTTACCTCCCGAAATTCTGAAGCCTGTCATAGCTTCATCTTACCCAAAATACCGCAGAAGGGTTTCGGAACAGAGGAAAAAAGGTGAGAACGAAGTTAATTCAAGTTACTATGTACTAAAACTGGTTTTAAGACGAGGAACTCAAAACTAAACTAAAATCATATACCGAACTGAGGAAGCAACGAGAAGAATTTAGGACGAGATTAGTAGATTTGATAGTAAATAAAGATGATGATGATGCAGAGGTAGATCCAAACGTGATTCCATCAGCTGACGAACGAGAAGTTTTGCGTTACTACTACTACATCAAATATGGCGTAGACACCATACATGTAGCTCCATTAGACACAAAAGTTTTGAACAGGGTAATACAACTATTTTCTACCTGGCAACTTAATGTCTTCGTTAGGTTTTAGCATTAATTCCTAAAAAACTAACAAAATGGCAGGAAACTTTAAACCAATCCATAGAAGACATGAAAACAGACTTTATGATAGCGGTGAAAAAAGCCATAGTGGATTTCGTGCTCCAAGATCCTTCTTTCGTAAGAACTCTTGCTGAAAAAGAATCTCCGTTTAAGAAAGAGTTGAAAGAACTAGTATTCATAGTGAAGCCCGCATTCCGTGCAGCTAAAACAAAGTTAGAACGAGATCTCCACGTGATTAATCCTTGCTTGGCGGCCATTTTGGACATATGGTACAGTAGATTCAGGTGTGTCGTAACAAAAGTAACACGTCATTGTATTAACCAGAATTTTTTCGTAGGAAACTTCGACTAGTGAACGTTCACGAACTGAAGCAGCACGAGGGTGCGTTTAGTCTTGAAGAGTTTAAATGGACAATCACTAGACATATAGATGCTTGCAAAGACACACTAATGCACGATTACTATGCCGCAGTAACCGATGTGTTTTTGCAAGGCAACAAAAAGAACTTACTTCCAAATCCGGCTAAAACAAAGAAAATGAAGTCTTTTTACAATTCAGTTGCCACTATTATGACATATAACTTGCAAACTCTGTGTCTAAAGTCGTTGTATGACTACATACACTATATAACAGATATTAAGGTTTGAAGCAACATTTCTCAGTGTATAGTACTTAGGTATATTTTTGCTTTTAGTACTCGAATAAAGGTTTTATTATTCATCTACATCAGAAAATCAACGTCTTGGTGTTTGAGCCACCATTTAAGCATTTTACTGAGGCGCTCTTAGATGTGATTGACTTTATTATAGAGGCTGTAATGACTATACCACGTCTTGAGTGTCGTCTGTATTTAGACATGGGTGAAGACGTTTTCTTAAAGGTGATTATAAAATACTCCGTTAGAACTGCATGAACTGATGATTTATTTGCAGCCAACAATTCCTGAAATAATTGTAGAAGATTACAAAGACCAAATTAAAACGTTGTTAGAAAATCAACGAATTGGTCCAGAATTACGAGTCCAAGACTTTGATGAATATATGCCTCTGATAAATGGAGAAGTTAATGACTACACATTTACCGTTTTCATGGTGCTTACATTATGTTCTAGGATGAAGAAAGAATTAATGAATTCCTTGCGTCAGAACATACGTTTAACGACTACGTCGCGGAAATTTTGCGTTACAAGCATATCATAGATGAAATTCCTCTAGTAAAAGAACATGTCATTACAATGGAAATGTATGACATGGAGCGATTTGAGATGATTAAATCTTTGGTTGCTGCTGCTGAAGGCTTCAGAGATATTCTTATTGGACGGTGTACTTCAGATTACCAAACTTTGTGCAAAACGTAGGTTATATTAAACATACACAACACAAAAAATAGAAGTAACTTTTAGATTGGGAGAAGAATATCAAACAATAGCCGACAAGGCTCTCAAACCACCCACCAAAACATCCGAATTGATGGATTTGATACGCTATGTCGATGAAGTTGAAACTACCATTCTTCCGGAAATGGAAGATAGACTAAGTATCGTCATGCAATACATACTTTTCCTAGCAGACCATGCACTCTTCAGTGCCATTGAAATGAAACAAAACAACGTCACTTTCTTGTGGTACCTTCGTATGCCTAAAGTACTAGAAGAACACAGGCAATTGGTTGACGTTAAAATGGAAGAATTCCAAGCTGCGTTATCTGTAAGAATACAGAAGTTTGTGGACGATATAGAATTGTATGCCAAGATGGTGGATGAGTTGCAATACAACGGAGACGTAGATGAATTGCCGCGGTACCACAAGAAAGCGACTCAACTTGACAACAGGTTGTCCATCATTCAAACAAAAATAATTTCTTACACTTAATTTTATTTTAAGATTGGTCCAAGCAATGGAGAAGATTGATCAGTTCAATGAAGAGGAAGCTTCCTTCGGGTTTGAATTATCTCAGTACCCGCTTCGTAAACAAACTCATGACAAACTAACACCTTACAAAAAATTGTATGACAACGCGATGGAGTTTTTGACAAAGTACGAACTTTGGATGAAGTCGCAAGTTGGTACATACGATCCTGAAGAGATTGAACAAGACGTGGGTCAGTGTTACCGGAATGTTTACAAGTTAGAGAAAGTCTTTTCGGATCGACCAGCCACTCACGAACTGGCTACCACTGTATGACTCCATTCATACGATAAACTGTTCTATTGTACTTTTTTAGGTGCGAGTTCAAATTGAAGAGTTTAAAGAACATATGCCGATTATTCAAACCTTGGGAAATCCTGGAATGAAGCCTCGACATTGGGAAAAAGTTTCGGAAATTGTTGGTTTCCCTATTAAAGTTGACGAAGAGCTCACTTTGGAGAAAATTATCGATTATGGATTGGATGAGTACATAGAGAAGTTCGAAGCTATATCGGAAGCGGCCACTAAAGAGAATAACTTGGAGAAGAACCTAAACAAAATGAAAACGGAGTGGCAAGACATGGAATTTACCGTTTTAAGCTACAAAGATACGGGGACGTACATACTTTCAGCGGTTGACGATATTCAAGTTTTGCTCGACGACCACATTGTTAAAACTCAGACTATGAAAAATTCTCCTTATATTAAACCGTTCGAGAAGGAGATATAGTCAGTTGATTTAGTAGCACATTCTGAGAGAGTTAACAATGCGATTTTAGTGCTTGGGAAGCCACACTACAACTGTGTCAAGAGATTCTGGATGAGTGGTTGAAAGTTCAGTCGACTTGGATGTACCTGGAGCCAATTTTCAGCTCGCCGGATATTCAGCAACAAATGCCAGAAGAAGGGCGACGATTTAGTGCCGTCGATAAGGTACTTCTTAATCACCACTTGAGATCACCTTAATATGAAACTTAATTCAAGATATGGAGAGACATCATGAAAACTGTAAATGGTGATAATAAAGTGTTATCAGTGGTCGAAATTGACAAGATGTTGGAACGACTGAAGAAATGCAACAGTCTTTTGGAACTGATCCAAAGAGGTTTGAATGACTACTTGGAGAAGAAACGTTTGTATTTCCCAAGGTTCTTCTTCTTGTCGAACGACGAACTGCTCGAAATTTTGTCAGAAACGAAAGATCCGACAAGGTTGTCCTACTCACTCATATACATATATTTTGACATTTTTTTTTAGAGTTCAGCCTCACCTCAAGAAATGCTTTGAAGGTATTGCTAAATTAACATTCACGGAGGATTTGGATGTAACTGAAATGAAGTCGAGCGAAGGTGAAATCGTACCGTTAGTAGACGTTATTCAAACGGCTCTTGCTCGTGGTCAAGTTGAAAAGTGGTTGGTTGAACTGGAAACTGACATGAAGAAATCAGTCCACAAAATGGTGTTTGAATCTTTTACAGATTACGTTAAGCAAAACAGAGAACACTGGGTGTTAGTGTGGCCTGGACAAACCGTAAGTACTTAATTTATTGTTAGACATTTTTTTAATATATATTTTAGGTGCAATCCATCGCCATGGCTTATTGGACGTTAGAAGTGACGCAAGCAATAACAATTAGTAGAGAAGCTATGAAAGAGTACTTGGAGAAATGTAACTTACAGATTGGTAAAATTGTTGATCTTGTTAGAGGGAAGCTGAGTACCCAGAACCGAATTACTCTTGGTAATTGTCGAATTAGAGTGTCATTCTGTATATTGTTTGTCTTTTAGGAGCGCTTGTTGTACTAGATGTTCATGCAAGAGACGTGTTAGCTGAAATTATACACCTGAATGTAAGAACCGTGACTGACTTTAAGTGGTTGTGCCATTTACGGTACTACTGGGAAGAAAATAACTTAAAAGTGTCAATGATCAATTCTTCGTTGAAATACGGTTACGAGTACTTAGGTAACACAACAAGATTGGTAGTGACACCTCTGACGGATAGGTGCTACCGAACTTTGTTTGGAGCGTTACATTTACATTTGGGTACTATTATGTTTATAGTAATCACTCCACTGACCATTTTACTTTAGGTGGCGCCCCGGAAGGTCCAGCTGGTACCGGCAAAACCGAAACCACAAAAGATTTAGCCAAAGCAGTCGCTAAACAATGCGTTGTCTTTAACTGTTCAGACGGTCTTGATTACATAGCCCTCGGAAAATTCTTCAAAGGTTTGGCATCTTGTGGAGCTTGGTCTTGCTTTGACGAATTCAACAGAATCGACTTAGAAGTATTGTCGGTAGTGGCGCAACAAATTCTGACAATCCAAAGAGGTATTAACGCTGGTGTTGAAAAACTATTGTTCGAAGGTACTCAACTGATTCTGGATCCCACTTGTGCTGTTTTTATCACAATGAATCCTGGTTATGCCGGACGTACTGAGTTACCTGACAATTTGAAAGCGTTGTTTAGATCGGTGGCTATGATGGTACCCGATTATGCTCTAATTTCTGAAATAGAACTCTATGCTAGTGGTTTTCTTACTGCTAAACCTCTGTCAGTTAAAATCGTTGCGACCTACCGTTTGTGCTCAGAGCAGTTGTCTTCTCAGTGTCATTATGACTACGGTATGAGGGCCGTCAAGTCAGTACTAAGAGCTGCAGGAGCGTTGAAACTTCGGTACCCGGACGAACAAGAGGATATTTTAGTACTAAGATCTATAAAAGATGTAAATCTTGCTAAATTTCTCAATCAGGACGTCCCTTTGTTTCAAGTAAGTTGATAATTTTGTGAAACGTGACGGGAAGGATTTTTTTTTCAGGGGATTACTTCTGATTTGTTCCCTGGCGTTATATTACCAGAACCTGATTATGTCATCATGAACCAAGCGGTAGATGACACGTGTAAAAAAAATAATATCCAAAACACACCATTCTTTTTGGAAAAAGTACAGCAGTTGTATGAAATGATAGTAGTGAGGCATGGATTGATGATCGTTGGGTACCCATTTGGAGGGAAGACAACATCTTATCGAATTCTAGCAGAGGCTTTAGGTCTCATAGAAGAAAGAGTAAGACAGTTTAGTTTTGGAAACGGTAAAAAGCAGTTTGTTTTTATTTTAGGGTGGTATGGATGAACATAAAGCCATTTATACCATCATGAATCCAAAGTCGATCACTTTGGGTCAGTTATATGGACAATTTGATCCGGTTTCTCATGAATGGTCGGATGGTGTGTTAGCTGTGAGTTTTCGTCAGTTTGCGATGTCCACAACGGATGATAGGTAAGAATTTTTAGTTGAATTACAAAATCTATTTTTTTTTTTGTAGGAAGTGGTTAATATTTGACGGTCCTGTTGATGCCGTCTGGATAGAAAACATGAATACCGTGTTAGACGACAACAAAAAACTTTGTTTAATGTCTGGCGAAATAATTCAGTTGGCAAATACAACGAATTTGATTTTTGAGCCTATGGATTTGGAAGTAGCTTCTCCTGCTACTGTTTCCAGATGTGGAATGATTTACATGGAGCCTGCGTCATTGGGGTGGGAGCCTCTTTTGATCTCTTGGCTTAATATTCTTCCCCCGGTTATAAATACCGACTTTTATAAAACGATGATTAAGACCTTGTTTATCCGATTTTGTAATCCTTTGTTGTGGTTATTAAACAAAGGAGGCGTAAAAGTAAAACATTTAATGCTACGGTTTTAGGCCGAATTATGAAATGTTAAAATTTCAGGAGATCGCAAAAACTTCAGACACTAATATGGTAAAAGCTACGATGAATTTGTTTGACTGTTTCATGGGAGATTTTCTCGATGAAAAATATCGCGAGCAAGTGAGTGATTTGGATATTAGGGCACAAATAGAGGGTTCGTTCTTTTTTGCCTGCATATGGTCCATGGGGGGAACTTTGGACGCAAACAGCAGACCCAAGTTCAATATGCTATTTAGAGCATTACTGGAGAGAGAATTTCCGGAGAAGATCCGCGAACAGTTAGGCATTCACTTTGAAATAGCCAAACCCGAAAAACCTTATATTTTTACGATACCGAGTGGAGAAACTGTGTTCGATTATCGATACATTAAAGAGGTAAGAAAACCGAGTTACATAACACAAGTTAAATTTTCTCGTCTCAAAAGGGCAAAGGAAAGTGGAAACTTTGGTCTGACGATTTGGCATCAGCTCCTCCAATTCCCAGAGACATTCCCGTAAATCAAATAATCGTCCCCACAGTGGAGACCATCAGAAATATCACAATAATGCAATTACTGGTGCAACACCAAAAGGCCATGATGATCATAGGTCCGACGGGAACCGGAAAATCCAGTTACATCACCGTGCGTTTCCCTTTAACTTACTTGCTTTAAAAAACACTCGACGCTGCAAATTTTAGGAATTTCTGCTGAAAAAGAACGACACGAATACTTATAAACCGGTTTTTATTAGCTTTTCGGCGCAAACTACTGCCAATCAGACTCAGGATATAATTATGGCCAAGTTGGATAAAAGAAAGAAGGGAGTTTTCGGTCCCCCGGTTACTAAGAAATGTGTCGTCTTTGTCGATGACGTGAACATGCCGTTGAAAGAAGTTTATGGAGCTCAGCCGCCTATTGAATTATTGAGACAGTGGTTTGATCATGAGATGTGGTACGATAGGAAAGAAGTTGTTCCCATCAAGCTTATTGATATTCAGGTGAACTAACGTTTCATAAAATGTCTTAAAATTTTATGGTTGTTTTTATAGTTTATGTGCGCGATGTGCCCACCTACAGGAGGTGGCAACACGATTACCCCCAGGTTTTCGAGACATTTCAATCACTTGTGTATTGACGAATTTCAAGAGAGTGTACTGATTCACATTTTCAGTAAAATAATGTTGTGGCATTTGGATACAAGGTAATCACATTGCCACTTTATGACTGAGTTTCAGTTGTAGATATAAGAATTTAAAAAACTGATTTTTGATTTTAAATGAAAAATCAACTAAATACTTACATGAAAAATAGTACAATTGATGTATATATATTTCATTATAATTTGTTAGTAACGCAGAAAATATTTCCACTAGCTCTCGGTTCTATTATCTTTAAAACTTATCTGAAATAAAGGACTGCAATTAAATCTGAAACTTTTAATTTAAAGCATGATCATCAGGCTTATGCAGATGAAGTTATCCATGCTTTAAGACATTTATTATGTCCATAGTACATTATATTATGGTAAGAACAATTAACATATATTTACTTAATAAAATATTGATCATAATCGTACAAATATTGCTTGTCTTTCGGGTACATACGAAGTTGACAAGGGAAATTCATGAGATTTTGACGCGATCTGTTGTACTTTTTCACAATTAAAATTAAAAAATCCACGATCGGTTTTAAAAATATCTAAGTACGATATATAGCACAAAAACTACTGCTCTTAACTTGTTTTTTTTTTCAAGAAAAAAAGTCTGTAAATTAAAATTAAGTGCAAATGATTTTTTTTTCAACATTTTAACATGTAGAAAAATTAAACAATAAAAATTATAATAATAATAGGATGTCAAAGTAGATTCATACACCAGGACTGAAAACAGAAATATGTTATTTTATAAGATTTAAATGGCATGTCATGTGTAAAATTTTGAGGTGACTTCAAATTGTTGGTGTATATGCTAAGATATGACTAATTTTTGGAAATGATATACTTTCTAAAAAAATAGGGGGCGGATGGGAGGGGCTAATACTTGCTGAGATAAGAGTGAACAATATTAAAAGTAGTCACTGAAATGAAGAGGGGGTGGGTGGGCGGGGCTTGCTCTTCAGAAAAAAGCTAAACTCACTTATTTTATTTACTGTAAAATGGAAATTGAATTCTGTTTTGACAAGGAGTAGAATCTAAGATTTAAAACAAAGTAAAAAATGGCCACTCCCACTCACCCCTATTTCGTTTTGATTATTCATTCTTATTGCTTCTGAAGAACGGAAATTTGATTTTATATTAATAAATAATAAATACTGCAATATTCAATTTTTAAATTTTGCTATTTTTTCTAGTTTTTCATTTTTTTTTTCTTAGTACTTGCTAGATAAGACTGATTTTAGAGAATAACATACCCTCTAAGAAAATAAAGGGAGGGTGGGTGGTTGTAGTACTTGCTAAGATAAGAATAATTTTGGCCAATGACATGATTAAACATTGACATGATATTTTCCGGATGTCTATTCACGAACAACACTACTTACTTTGTTAAAAAAAATATTATTGTAAATTTTCTTAATAACGTTATCCCATTGGTGGTTTAGCCAAATTTTGGTTAGCGTTTTACCGTCTGCACGATATTCTTAAAATACATAAAAATTGGCAACATTGGAAAATATCGTTGAATAAATATCGACACATAAGGCAGACAACAAACAGACAGCAGACGACCGACAGGCGGAAACGGGAGACCTACTGTTTCATTCTCTAGAGTCATGAAACGTCGAGCAAACAATAAATTAGTCGTTCGACCTATGGATTTTATTAAAATACTTACTTCGCTTACGTCCGGGTAGTAAAAACTTTCTACTTTCAGCGTTTAAGTTAGGGTTCATTTAGAAAATGGCTAATTTCATGTTTTGTCGATGTTTTATGATTCCGAGTATATACTCTTGTCTCCGTCTGTCTGTTGCTTGTCTCTCTGTATGTCTGTGTCGATTTTTCTTAGATATATATATATAATCTCTGAACTGATTGTTTTCAAATTTTAGATATATGTTAAAAATATCGTGTCGATGTTAAAACGCCAAACAAAATTTGTCTGATCATCCCCAGCAACAACTAAAAAATAGTAAATATTATTTAAATTTTATAAAATAAGATACTCCTGTACTGGTGGTTTATGAATCCGTGTTAAGTTTTTACCCTAGACATCCAAATTTTTGGAAAAAAAATTGCTCTGAAATCTTGCAAACGTTTTAAGATTATTTATCACAAGGATGGTAAATCGTTAATTAAAATTTATTTGTTTAACCCCTACCAAAAAATCGATGACGTCGTCTCAAAATTCTGCAAAATAATTCTAAAATATGCAAAATATCCTGAATTTGTACTTGTGGTTTATCAATGCATTCATATTTTATAGAATTAGTTATACAGGGTGACTCAAAAAAATTCGTAAATGAGGCAATGTATTTTATTAATGAAATTAAAAATTAAGAACGGTTTAATAAAAAATTTGAATATATAATATTGTTATTATTAGTATTAAACTGCACCTTGCTGTAAGGTTATTGTAACTGATTGAAATATGTCCTTGCTAAAATATTAATGACGTTATCACAAAATTTTGTTGTGGGAAAACTCACTTGAAATATACTATAGCATGCTTCTGTGCTTGCACTTTAACAATCCACACATAGAGGTTATTATACAAAAATTAAATTCGCAAAACTTTATATAGTTGTGCAAAATCTGTATTTGTTCTCTTGTACTATCACGGCCAAAAAAATGGATACACCTAACCTGCCCATGTCATCGATTTTTATTTCATTTTTCAATTGTATTTGTTAAATTTATTTTGTGTCTGCTTTAGAATGAACGCCTCTGATTTTCTGCCGTCTTTTAACATCAACATGACAGAGAAATTGCACTTACAATAGAAAAATTTAATAAAATCGATGACATGAGCCGGTTAGATGTTTTCATTTTTTTGGCCGTGGGAGTACTTCAGGGACGAAGAAACTTCTGTTGAAATAACTTTAGAGCAAATTTTTATAACTGCTTAAATAGGATGTTAAAAAAAAATAATGAAGCAATTTATTCTGTTGATTGTATTTCTGAATTTTTATCAGAATTTCGTCATACAGTTTCGGCCACAAAATCTTGGACAGTTTCGTCATTCCAGTGACATAAGCTCTAAAACAGGCTTTACGTACTTATAACTTCAAATTTAAATGTTTGTCATCTTGACGTAGACTGGAATGTGGATGAAGACGTATGCGAAAATTTATATGACGTATGTTAACATTTATTTTTTTAAAAGTGTCAGTCATTATGACAATAAAGCATAGACTACATCGTGTTCTTTTAAATGAATGAAAAATACTGCCCAAAATTTTCTGACCGAAATTGTGTATACCATGTGTTTCTTTTATTGGATACAACTCCTGTATATTTTTTATTTTTAAAGATATACATATAGTTCTTTGAGCAAATCTGTATCAATGTATCATTTTAAAAGATCACTTACGTGAATAAATGAGTCCCAATTTTTCAAGCTACTAGATTCAATAAATATGAATTTTTCGTTTGTTTTATTGAATAACTGTTTAAGTATTGATTCTAGAATATTGGTTGCTTTTAATTAAAAAAAAATCTATTTTTCCATTTCTAAAAAAATTAAAATTGATGTCATTTCCGGGTTTACCGAAAGTGATAATAATAATGTGAGGTTGCCATCACACAGATCTTTTAAAATGGTACAAATTTGCTCAAAGAACTACACGTTTATTTTTAAGAATACAAAAGTTACAGGGGTCGTATCAAATAAGTGAAACACGCTGTATATATCATATTTTTATGTATTGTATCACTATGTGACACCGGAAATTGTCAAAGATACGAGGTCTTTAAATTTAATAAAATGGTATTATTGGATGTTCGTAAGTACTTTGTCACAAAACATTCCACACCTACTAGCTTACAAAATGTAAACGTCAATGTATTCGGTACCTACGGGGAAAACTAATTATTAGCGAATCATAATGATTATTTGTATTACAAAGCCCGAAACTAGAGTTTTGTGATTATTTTTGATGTTTATTGTTTTTATGTTATTTATATTTAGTGAATTGATAACATAGTGCTGACAAATTTGAAAATCTTATCAATTTTAAAAAATATATTTCATTGTGTTTTACACCAAATAATTTGTCCTTTTTTCTTCGTTTAACCAAATAAAAATTACCTGACCTGACCCGACCTAACTTGACCTGATTTGACCTGACCTACCCTGACCGGACTCGACCTGACTTGACCTGGACCTGACCTGAACTTTTTTCCGTCTTCATTTTTTTCTTCATTATAGTGCGTGTCATTTTAGTTTGCCAAGTTCTGTAGCGTTTTTCCCTTCAGGTTTTCTGACATAATTTTTGCTCCGATGTTTGTCTCCGCTTTGTTGTAATTGGACCTGACCTGAGATGACTTGACCTGATCTGACCTGACCTGACTTGACTTGACCTTTATAACTTAAAATTTAGTAGGTTTAGAATTTCTTTAAGAACTATTATTAATCAAAACGTAGCTTCGTATCGTTTAGATATTCTGAAATCATATTAGTGTGAAGGATAAACATTAAACACCTTGTATAAACGAAGACCCTGTACTGAATGAATCGCACTCTTCAAATCATTTTAATGTAAGAGCTCGTCTAGAGGTATGAAAGCATCTCTTCCTCCAGACACCACAGACTGGTCTATATTTCTCCTTAAAATGAACTACGTAAGAATAAAAATTTATTACACCTTGCCGACCCCACAGAAAAAATGATTACTGTTGAAATTTATAGTTGCATGAGTAGAAAATTCTGTATTAAATTTTCGTTACTACACCGTGGAAATCCGCGCTCTTGGACGCACTAAAAGCCCCTCACACGAGCATAAATTAGTAGCTTCAAGTTCTAAATGCGAACTGTCTTTATTGTACATTGTCTAATGACGCTCCCGCACGTGCAAATCCCACATATATCAAGCTCCAAAGTTTTAATCAACACCTCATCGCAGGGGATTTTCCAAGGAGTTCGACCCGTGCATTCAACAGATAGTCTTGGCGACTCTCGACATGTACAAAATGGCAAGGGCCAATTTGCTCCCAACTCCGGCCAAGTCGCATTACCTGTTCAACTTGCGTGATTTCTCCAGAGTCATTCAAGTAAACCTTTGTTTGTTCGGCTTTGCCGTCGCTCACCGCCCTCATTCTAGGGCGTCTTGCTGTCCGTCCCCGAAGCCATGGAGGACTTGGTGGCGATGAAGCGCCTCTGGGTCCACGAGGTGCTGAGGGTGTACTACGACCGTCTGGTCGACGACGCCGACAGGACCTGGATAGTCCAAGCTCTGCGGGAGATAACCACCCGTCAGCTGGAGGAGGAGTTCGACACCATGTTCCAGAGGCTGGCCACGCCGGAATCCACTACGGTAATTTAGATAGTTGTCGCGTTGTTCTCCTCTCAGCTAGTTGTTTCTTAGATAGGGGAGACCGAGTTGCGGAATTTGCTTTATTGCGATTTTGCGAATCCCAAAGCGGATCAGCGGCATTACATCGAAGTGCTCGATCTGGACCAATTGAAAGAGATAGTCGAGGGTTATTTGGCGGAATTCAATAACATGACTAAGAAGCCGATGAATCTGGTGCTTTTCAGGTAATGGCGAAGATTAACAGTATAGAGGGCGAGAGGGATAATCAGGGAACTGAAACGCGATTACGATCCGGTAATCTCGGTGCACTACTTTTGTGTACCAATAAACAATGCTCGAACAACGTCCCTGGTAAAGATCCTCGTCAAAAGGAAAATGCTTGCTCTAGATTAAATGCTGATGTAAAATAACATCATTTTTAAGGTCAACTAGGTATATATCACCATACAAACAAAAAAAAAATGTTATTTTGTTTGACAAACACCTCTGGTAAATTCACTATCATTACAGAGTCGAGTAAATACCGTCTGTTCGGAGTCTGACGACCTCCAAGCTTCCACTGTGTGTCTGTAACTTATGGTTTTATGGATTAATGTCTTTAATTCAGACTTAAAAAAATTATTGATATGCTAAAGTAGTGTGCTTATAGTGTAGAAAAAACTACGAAGGAGTCACGGAATAAAATCATTAAGCAAGTGGAACTCTATGTGAAGCAAATGAACAAAAAGTTTTCAGATTAGGATAGGCTATGGGAATCTTTTTCATTTCTTTGATTAAACCTGACGTGCCAAAATTCAAACATGTCAAATTAAATAACAATCGACCAACTGTCGAGTCATTTTAACTCTTCAAGCTAAAAAAACAATCGCATCTAGAGCCGTGGAAATATCCCTGTTCAAAACACTTAAACTGTGACTTTTTTAGTGACCAAAAGTATGTGCTTTTTTGAATGTTACAATGGTAACATATCAATCCAAATTGCAGAAGTTCAAAATTAATTGAACAATTGATCAAATTAAAAACGAGTCACCCCATTTTCCCCAAAATGTGAAAATACAAACGTTTTTATTTCATAAGAATTATAATAATGATATTCAGAACATTTTGTCGGTTGTAGCTTACTGCTTAATAGTTTTGATCCTCTGTTTTGAGGGGACGAACTCATTCAAATCAAACTAATTTCTAAGTGACATTTTTCCGATGTACAAACATAAATGCTTTTAAGTTGTTTTTGTTATTGAGGATAACCCAAGGACGTACAGTAATGGAGTCTATCGGGTGATTTGGTACTTTCATATTTTCTCGATTTTTTATAACCCCTAGGCAAGGTCGTAACTACGGGGAGGCTAGGGGATGCTGAGCCTTCCCTAGATCTAGACAAGTTATAATTAACCATTGTGAATTATAACATCGACAATTAAAATAAAATGTATTCACTAAGCGGAAGTCAGAGCAATAAAAAAGTCTGGACCGTCGGCATTGTGATCTGGTTATTGCAGTTCGTAGAAAATATGTTTTAAATAGTTTAGTTTCTGTTTCACTCTCACGTCTACAGGTTGATAAGTGTTATCGCTATTTGTCTTAAATTACAAGTACCATAAATGATTTTCAGTTCAGTCTTTAATCGCACCTCTGTTATTACATACGTCAGACGTGATTAAATTGTTTCGTTATTTTATTGATTATAGATCACTGTTCAAGAATAACAATATTACTTATTATTAGTATAACAATGCATCTATCCAAACTGATATATGCATCCTTGCAAAAATATGGATGACACACAAACTTTTGTAATGGAAAAACTCACTTGTAACAAACGGTTACCACGTTTCTTTACCTTTACCCGAACATTAGATACATATTTTTATTTTAGCTTATAATGGTTATCAAAAAAAAACAACAATAAAATTCGCAAAATCAAATCTTTTAATTTTTTGAAAGAGCTGGATTTGACAAGCTGTACTTTATGGGGGTGGGAAGTTCTGTCGATATAATCTTCGACCAATTTTTTACATATACTCCATTTACAAAATATCCATGTTTCATCCAGACAAAGGGGTTTGTATAATATTGTTTTTTTTTTGTGGCGCTGATATTCACGCAAAAATTTTGTTATTCTTTGCTTAATGGATGTTCTCGCCATTAGAAACAATCGATTATTATGTTTATAAAATTTAAAATCAACTTTTCTAATCCATGTGTTTAGTGTCCTGGGTACAGTTTTGAAGTCCGGTATCTCTTCAATACTTTAGCATGAAGCGAATAAATAGTAAGTCACGTGTTCGTGTTCGGTAGCTGCAACCATTTTATGCATACCTTAATTTCCCTGACTAACATTAAATCTACAGGATTTACTTGAGTTTTTATATTTCTAACAATGTATTCTCTTTGTACCCCGTATCACTTGAACCTGTATTTTTTTGTAAATTATATAAAGATTTTTCAGGAATTTTTGACATTTGGACCGCCAGTTCTGTTTTTTTTCCTAAACTGCACAACATGGTTTCTTTCTAGATATTTATACACATTTAATATAACTTGTTTTGTTTGATCACTAAATCGTTTCATCGTTCAGAATTAAGTAGAGTAGTAAAATGTTAAATAAATCAAAGATTCTGCTTAACAAATAATTCTGATGGCAAATTATAAAATTTGACATCAAATTTCTACGACATACTCAAAATTTGATAATTTTTTGTATCACACAAAGTGCAGAAGACAAAAGAGGAAAAGTTTTACCTGTGGTATTTCCACCACTATACTACCAACGCAGTTGAGGTCCTGTTGAGCATGTGCCCAGTGTATGCTTTAGGATCGCATAACTTCCACATTCTGTAAACTCTTTGTGTATTCGTGTCTTAATATTTTTACCTTCGACTTGAGTTGTACAGTTCCCTTTAATATATTTTAATTCTTGTTCAATAAAGAACGGATTTATATGCACAAAATTTCTTCAAAATATACACAATGTTTGGTAAATATACAGTTTTATGCATATATCAGATGTTTTTCCAAATTTTCCAATGTAAAATTCTGTCTTCTATCTGTCAATAATATTTTATATGAAGAAAAACTTCTTTTTGCGTTAACATATGTAATTTGTGTGTAGTGGTGTGTATTTTAACGCATTAATAATGTCCAGATCTAATTCTACATTAGTATCTAGTGATTCCAGCCACCCTCTATTTTCTTAGAGGATATATGATTTGCTAAGATCAGTCTTATCTTAACAAATACTAGCCCCGCCCACCCACCCTCTATTTTCTTAGAGGATTTGTCATCCGCCAAAATCAGTCTTATCTTGGCAAGTACCTTATCACTTAAACAACCTACCAGTGATTGGCAATATAATGCCCACAAACATTCTACTATGTACAAAAAATATATAAATTTGTTTTTTACAATTTCTTTAATACCTCACTGTAAATATTTGATACATAATTTTTTTTTATCGTATTTTGGTCCCGTATAACATTTTTACAATATTTTTCTAAAAACGCTTTGAAACAAGGGTCTTGCACAACTTTTTAGGTGGACTATCGGCACTAAGTATCCCTTTACATAAATCTGAATTAAATACTTGCTATTCACTTTTCTTTGATGAGCTGGCAGTAGATTCTTTAGTTTTGTTTCGTGGAGATTTTGACACTCCTTTATATGAAGTCGCGTTGAAACATGCTGTGATAATTAAAACTTACCGTTTACTTACATTACATTTTTTATTAAAGTTGTTTTCACTTTGGGCATTTTTCATAAAATTTACTACCACCGGCCTTCTTTAATGTCAGGTTATGAATGAACTAGAAATATTTGTTCAAATTATTTTCCCTCTCTTTACTTTCCAATATTAGGTGTGAAATACTGTATGCTCAGTCGACATCTACCTCGTTAACCTTAATGACTTAAGACAAATTAACTTTATAAATCTGCGACGACACAATAATAAGTAGTAATAAGCGAAGAAAGATAAGCGGGTCTGTAGTCTAGTGGTCAGGGCACCCGCCCGGCAAGCGGGAAACGTGTGATTCGATTCTCACCGGGGCAGCAACATTTTTCTTCGCTTACTTACAAATCAAACAGGAACAAACACATTTTCAAGTACATCTATTTTGAAAAATACTAGAAAAACCCAAATAGATGTTCAGATGCTCTTAGACTTTCGCCAAATGAAAATCATAAATAAATTTTGTAGTCTCCTAATAAACCATTTAGGGCGACCTTCTAGAAAGCCTGGCTATAATAATAGTAAACCTAACTTTGAATTTTTTGAGTATTTTAGGGAAAGAGCTAATTTGGATTTTTGTCAAATGACAAAGTAAAACATATAATAATCTGCATACATATGCTCAAACCGACAAAACATGCCATGGATTGTTGAAATATGCAAAAAAATGCAATAATTAATCTATGTCAATCAATTTAAAAGATGATAATTCCGACATATACTAAAGTATTTATTTATCATACCAAAAATACGGGATATACAAATTGCATATAATCCGCTCTGTATTGATCATAATCTGTAATAGTAAATGTTTTTGCGATGTGGGTTTTCGAATTTAGAATTTTGATTAATAAAACATCGCATTTGTCCTCAAAATCGTCAATAGTTATGTTGTTTAATTCTTTACAACGTCAAATGATCCCTTTCCCGATAATCAAGTTTATCTGTCAAAATGAAAATGGGTTGTGAAAAATAACTAAATATTAAATGTCATATTGATTTTACCTTCATAAATATAAAATCTTCGTGTGCTTAGACAATAAATCTGTTTATTCCTTCTCTGAAATATATTTCCCTTTTTTCTTTTAAGTTTTGAGTTCCAAAAGATAATAGTTTCTTATTTTGATTTTTATGTCATTTTGTTCATAAGTTTCTCGAACAGTGTGTATAGAATAGCACCAAACAGGCTAGATCTGAGTACGCGTTAATTAATTGTCATAGAATACAGGTTTTATATTACTGTTTACTAAGTAAAATATAATTTATTCTACGGTACAATGAATACGCTGTTGCTGTTTCGTGTGATACCGATTTCAAAAAAGGTAACCTGAATAAAATCTGTAGCATAAATCACGTTACCTTCCACTAATACATGCAAATACAGGACCTTCCATCTTATTTTATCTTCCGAATATCTCTTTCAGTGCTCTGTTCTGAATGACTGATAATTCATTGCATAGCACTGAAAGACATCTTAAAGACGCCATAATGAACGACCCTCGCTACATTGTAGCTTCTCTCCGTCGTCTTTCACCAATGCTGAGGTTCTATCAGTCTTCGCAATGTCATTCCAGATTTGCGATCGAACATTTATCAAAGTTATGTCGGATATTGAAGCAGCCTCGGAGTCACGGCCTTTGCGTCGGCGTGGGGGGCTCCGGGAGGCAATCGCTCACTCGTCTTGCGGCCCACATTTCCGAATACGAATTGTTCCAAGTGGAGATCACCAGGTCTTACACGACCATCGAGTGGAGGGAGGACGTTAAAGTGATATTACGCAAAGCGAGCGCCTCGGATCAACACGGGGTTTTCCTATTCACCGACTCCCAGATAAAAGAAGAGGGATTTCTGGAGGACATCAGCAATTTGATGAATTCAGGCGAAGTTCCAAATATATTTACAGGAGAGGAGCGCGTCGAACTGTGCGAGAAGATGCGACAGTTGGATAGGCAAAGGGATAAATCCTTACAGACGGACGGGAGTCCTCCAGCTTTGTACAACTTCTTCATACAAATAGTTAAGGAACAATTACACGTCGTCTTGGCGATGAGCCCGATTGGGGACAGCTTCAGGACGAGGATCAGAAAATTCCCCGCTATTGTCAATTGTTGCACGATCGACTGGTTCCAAGTAAATCGTTTAAGACGCGACGAATGGGAACTGGTTTGCCGCATAAACCAGGCACGAGAGGTTTTCGACTTTATTATTAAACAACGCGACAATTTGACAATAAATCCTTCTCTATATTAAAAAGGGTGTTACCTAGTAGTAGTATTGATTTTCCTGTCTAAACTATGCTGGTGCGCGAAATCACCACTGAACAATAAAGGCGAAAATCGCTCGAGCAATATCTGGTTTATGTAGCAAATCAGTTTTCAGACGTTTCGCTAATCATGAATGTCGTTTTAGACGTGGCCCGAGGACGCTCTTTTAGCCGTCGCGACGCGTTTCCTCGGAGAAATTGAAATGGAGACCAGAGAGCGCGAGGTCTGCATCGACATGTGTCAAATGTTCCATACGACAACGCAAGAACTTTCCGTCGAGTATCACGTACGACTGCAGCGCTATAACTACGTCACGCCGACGTCGTATTTGGAGCTAATAAGCACGTTTAAAACTTTTCTCAACAAGAAGAGACAGTAAGTAGCGAAAACCATCAATTTTCTTTTACGAGCGTTGTTCTAGGGAGGTGCTGGTTGGAAAAAAGCGCTACGAGGTAGGTTTGGAAAAGCTGGATCACGCCGGTTCCCAAATAGCCATCATGCAAAAGGCGTTGGAAACTCTTCAACCGGCTCTGGTAGAAGCCGCAGCCAAAGTTGCAGAAACCATGAAGAAAGTGGAAGCCGAATCGGCTGAAGCAGCCGAAGTTGAAAAAGTAGTAATGGCGGATGAAGCCGTGGCTAATGAACAAGCTCAAAAAGCCCAAGCTATTAAAGACGAATGTGACGCCAATCTAGCCGAAGCTATGCCTATTTTGAATGCCGCTTTAGCGGCTCTGAACACCCTCACGACTGCTGATATTGCGGTTGTGAAGACCATGAAGAGTCCTCCCAAAGGAGTGCGACTAGTTATGGAAGCTGTGTGTATATTGAAGGTAAAGATTTTTAAGAAAGTTCCTAGGAAGTATTCCCATGTTTATTATTTTAGGACATCAAACCTCAAAAACTACCCCTACCAAGTGGTATAGGCACCTACGAAGACTACTGGGGACCTTCCTTGAAAGTTCTCGGCGACATGAAATTCCTCGACAGTTTAATAAACTTCGACAAAGACAACATCCCGGTGAAAGTCATGGCAAAACTAAGCGACAAGATTCTAAACGACGAAAGCTTCGACCCCGAAAAAATTAAGGTGGCGTCAACCGCTGCTGAAGGTCTGTCCAAGTGGGTGATAGCCATCTCCAAGTACGACAAAGTGGCAAAAGTAGTGGCCCCTAAGAAAATAGCCTTAGCTGCGGCTGAAGACGAATTCAACACTGCTATGACCAAACTAGAAGTTAAAAGACAACAACTACGAGAAGCCCGGGAAAAAGTTGCCAAGCTCGAAGCCTTGCTAGATGCCGAAAATAAAAAGTTCCAGAGTTTGACTGACGAAGTGAATCTGTGTCAACTGAAGCTCCATCGCGCCGAAGAACTGATTGGAGGCTTGGGTGGCGAGAAAACTAGGTGGATGGCCACGGCCAAAATGCTAGGGGAGAAATACTATATGTTAACCGGCGATATTTTAATTGCTGCCGGGGTTGTGGCATATTTGGGACCATTTACGTACCAGTTTCGACTGAAACAAATTGGTGAGTGGATTGCAGCTTTACAGGGATTTAATATAGTTTGCTCGCCGGACTTTTCTCTGACGACTACACTTGGAGAACCTGTGGAAATTCGACAGTGGAACATTTTCGGTTTACCATCCGACAGCTTTAGTATCGACAACGGAATTATCATAAAGTAATTCATTTATGTCGCCTTAATGCAGTTTTAATGCTGCTTTGTTGACAGAAATGCTCGAAGGTACGCTCTGATGATTGATCCGCAAGGCCAAGCGAACAAATGGGTGAAAAACATGGAGAAATCGCAGAATCTGGCGATAATACGATTAAATCAACCGGATTATGTCAGAATTCTTGAGAACGCGATTCAGTTTGGACAACCGGTGCTTTTGGAGAACATAGGGGAAGAATTAGACCCGATTCTTGAGCCTGTATTGGCGCAGCAGGTATTCAAACAAAGCGGTGCGCTTTGTCTCAAATTAGGGGACTCAGTTGTGGAATATAATCCCGATTTCAAGTACAATCCTAACCTATTACTTTACACTTGTGACGAAGATTGATTTCTTTCAGATTATATATAACGACAAAACTGAGAAACCCACATTACCTTCCAGAAGTAGCAGTGAAAGTGACTTTAGTCAATTTCATGATTACTTCGGTTGGTCTTGAAGATCAACTTCTGGGTATTACGGTGGCGAAGGAGAGACCTGACTTAGAGGCAGAAAAAAACTCCCTCATTATCCAAGGAGCTGAAAATAAGCGGTATTTGCATTTTCCTTAACTAACTGTTTACGTCATTAACGTTAGTCTCCAGCGCCTTAAAGGAGATTGAAGATAAAATCTTGGAAGTTTTAAGCACATCGGAAGGCAATATCTTGGAGGATGAGACTGCCGTACAAATTCTAAGTTCTTCGAAAACTTTGTCGAATGAGATCGCTGCTAAACAGTCCGTTGCAGAAGTCACCGAGCAGCAGATTGATAAAGCAAGAATGGAGTACAAGCCAATAGCTGCACATTCCACGATATTATTTTTTACTATTGGTAACAAATCGTGCTCATTATTTTCTCTTTTCTTTCTCGACTTTGGCGTTTCCAGTTGAGTTGGCAAATATTGATCCTATGTATCAATACTCACTCGTGTGGTTTATGAACTTGTTTAAAGCAGCCATCGACAATACAGAAAAAGTTGACGACGTAACAGAACGACTAGCCGATTTAGAAAAATTTTTCACGTATTCTCTGTACGTGAATATATGCCGCAGTTTATTTGAGAAAGTAAAGACTTTATTGTGTGCTTTCCATTTTTACACTACTGTCACTTTCAGGATAAACTTTTATTTTCACTTTTGTTAAACATCAATCTACTAAAAAGTCAGGACAAGATCGATCTGCCAGAATGGATGTTTCTCTTAACGGGAGGTGTCGGGTTAGATAATCCCAATGTAAATCCCTCCAACTGGTTGGTAACTAAATCCTGGGATGAACTGTGCAGACTCGACGAGTACCCAGCCTTTAGGTGAGACGTGATTAATACTCATAATCGTCTCAGGGCTTCCAATCATTGCTTACAGGGGTATAAAAGACAGTTTTATTAACAATTTAGACAAATGGAAGGAACTGTTCGACTCCGGCGAACCTCAGAACTTTCCGTTGCCAGATTCCTGGCACACCAAACTTTCCTCTTTTCAAAGAATTTTAGTTCTGCGATGTATGAGGTTCGACAAAGTAATCCCAGCCATCCAATCATTTGTCCACGGTAGGTGTTTTATTTAAGTTTAATCGTATCAACAATTTAGAATTTAAATAACATATCTCGACTTTATCGATCGAGGTGCCAGAAACAGCAAACCATGATATATCATTTGTGTTTGAAAAAATTCCTTCGTGAGATAATGCCGTTTTACCGAATCGATATTTTCGCAGAGAACTTAGGCAAGAGCTTCATCGAGCCGCCTCCCTTCGACCTGTATTCGTCGTTTACGGATTCCCACTGTTGCATCCCTCTGATTTTCGTTTTGACCCCCGGGGCTGATCCTATGACACTCCTACTCAAATTCGCGGATGATCAAGGGTTCGGAGCGGCTCGATTATTCGCGTTATCGCTGGGGCAAGGCCAAGGGCCCATCGCCGTGAAATTGATCGACGAAGGGATCAGGAATGGAACTTGGGTGGTCCTCCAGAACTGTCACTTGGCGCAAAGTTTCATGCCGACGCTCGAGAGGGTGAGTGCGTGGAGACAGGGCCGGCGTCAGACTGACATGCGCTCTGAGGAAAACTGGTAAATTGCGATCCCCTATAGACGCTAGGGTTTATACAGCACCCTGCATAATTTAAATAAAATACTGAAAATTGTAGTAAAATAAAATAGTGTTCAAATGCGGTCCTCAGCAAAAAGACTGACGCTTGAATTTTGTTAACAGTTTGATATGAAAAATCTGACAAAATGAAAATAAAAAGTACACTACAAAACAGGTGACAATTAAAATAAGTGTTTCGGTCGATCGATTAAAATGAAACATCCTGTATAATTTTTACTTTCTGTGGAAGAGTTGCAACGGGGTTCTCTTGACAAATGTCTGATTTCATTTTTATAACGTTTTAACAGCTTGTAGAATACGAAAATGTTTGTCGTCCGTCTATTTCTTGGTGTTTTTATAGACGGTTTTATTAAACAAATAATCCTTGTACTGGCCAGAGTGAAATTTTAGATATATTTTAAGATATCATATGGACTGCATAATCTTAACCAAAATGTATGCGTTAATCCCCACTAAAAATTTAAGGACGTCAGCTCAGAATTTTTCTAAGTAAATTTTGCTTGGAATTTACATCATCTTCAAAATTTAATAACTAAGTTAAAATAATTTCGAAGATCAAATATGATTCTTGTTTTAACAATCTATTTTAAATTTTTGGAAATTAGGAAGAAAATAATAACTGGCAATTTCTTTTTTGATTAAAAAATTGCTTCATTAATTGTTCGGAAATTGTAGGAACATAATGTGTAGTTCGAATATTATCCATTGTCCACATCAAAACATTTATATATGCCGGATATTCTGATTTACGCGTCCCACTATTAATATTTCAGTTATTAGAAAAACAGAAATTTAGAAGTCAATTAACACAAATAAATCTATATATAACGGGTGTTCAATTGAAAAAGTCATCAAGTTGAAGTTCAATAGCGTTCATTTTATTATACGAAAAAGTGAAGTTAAGTATGTAGCGTTCCACATATCAGTTGTTACTTAAATTTTAGGTTTATTGTAGACGTACATCACAAAATATATATATTGTTATAGCATATTTTTTACAAGAGTGGACTAGTTAACATAGAATTGAGTGTTATGAGTTGCAAAATTTTCGCCTCTTTATGAAATAAATTATAGCACTATGTCGCCTTTGGTTTCTCGGAAATGACATCACCATTTTCTTTTCAAATAGCAATATTTTTTTAACACTCCGTTCGGGTTTTTTTGTTGGTTTTAATTTTCACAACATCCGGAGATTGGCTACTTTCAAGTTTCTCGACGTTTCATGACCCCTAGAGTTCGAAAAAATAGATCACTGTACTTCTGGAGCATGAAAGTTTTGTCTAAATTTAAACCATTCTTTTTAATAATCGAAATATTACAGTGTAACCAATGACAATCCGTATCAAATATGTATGATTGAAAAATAAAAAAAAACCTACCCGCATTCTGTTTGAAAAAAAGTCTTTTCCGGAAAACCTCACAAGACTTAACTTTGAAAAGATATTCGCTTTAAATGGTTTTTTGGATTAATTTGCCTTTCCAAATTTCAAACTTTTGCTTTTTTACTTCCACAGCGTATACTAAAGAAGTATTGTAATCGAGTCCATCGGGCGATTGGCTACTTGCATGCGTTCTCGAGGTGTCATGACCCTTAGAGTACGAAAAACTACGTCTTCCGTTTCCGTCTGTCTGTCTATCGGTTCGCCGTTTATGTTGATTTATGTTAGACAGATAATCTTCGAAACTACCGGATCGATGGTTGTTAAATTTTACATGGATTTTAAGAATGTCCTATATATGTCGAAATGCCAGCCATAATTTGTTTAATCGTCCCCACTAGCGATGTGATGACGTCACTTCAAAATTTGTTATAGTAAATGTTATTTAAATTTTATAAAATAACGTACACGTGTGGTTTATGAATGAGTTTTGATTTTTTATCCTGGCATATTTTACTTTATGAAGGTTATCATAAAGAAAATATAATGGACAAAATTAAATTTTATAATTTCTCGAAAAACCTGGATAACTTGTAATGTACTGCAGGAGCAAAGAAATTTGTGTCTAAATAACCTTAAGCCATTTATTATTAATTATAGAAATATGACAGTGGAACAAATGAAAATCCGCATCAAGTATTGTATCATTGAAAAATAAAAAAAATCTATTTAACGACACTGTTAAAAAAAAAAGTCTTTTCCGGAAAACCTAACAAGATTTAATTTTAAAAATATACTCGTTTTAAATGTTTTTTGAGTAAATTTTCTTTTCTAAATTTCAAACTTTTACATTTTTACTTTCCGAGAGTAGTCTAAGGAAGTATTGTAATCGAGTCCATCTAGCGATCGGCCAATTCCATGTATTCTCGAGGAGTCATGACTTGAACGAAAAAATAGATGACCCGTTTGCGTCTGTCTGTCTAACGGTCTGTCTGTTCGCCGTATGTCTTTCCGAAACTACAGTACCGGTTGTTGTCAAATTTTACACGTATTTTAAGAATATCGTGGAGATGCTGAAATGCCAGCCAAAATTTGTCTAGTCATCACCACTAACGATGTGATGACGTCAACTCAAAATTTATCGTAGTAAATGTTACTTAAATTTTATAAAACAACATACTTCTACAGGTGTGGTTTATGAATCAGTTTTGATTTTTTATACTGGAGCCATTTGTTTTTAATTATTGAAATATTACAATGGAACAAATGAAAATCCGTATCAAGCATTGTATCACTGAAAAACAAAAAAAAACAATTTAACGGCACTGTTTAAAAAAAAATTAAGTCTTTTCCGAAAAACCTAACAAGATTTAACTTTAAAAATATACTCCTACTTGTTTTAAATGTTTTTTTGGGTTAATTTTCCTTTTCAAATTTCAAAGTTTTACCTTTTTACCTCCCGAGCGTAGTTTAAGGAAGTATTGTAATAGAGTCCATCCAGCGCCTGATTGCTTTCATGTATTTTCGAGGGGCCATGACCCCTAGAGTACGAAAAGAGATCTCCCGTTTCTGTCTGTCTGTCTGTCCGCCTTCTGTGTCGATTTATCTTAGACAGATAATCTCCGAAACTACCGGACTAATTGTTGTCAAATTTTACTTGTGCGTTATGAATATCGTGCAGATGGTAAAACTTTGTCTAATCACCCCCAAAAACAATGTGATGACTTCAAAACTGTATGTAGTAAATGGATCTTAAATTTCATAAAATAACATACTCCTACACGTGTAGTTTATGAATCCGTTCAGTTTTTACCCTAAACATTCAAAACAAAATTGTATAACAACAGTTTGTAATTTTGAAACTGTAAAACCAAATGCTCTGAAATCTTGCAGACGTTTTAAACTTATCGTAAGTATGGTAAATTTTTAACCACAATTGTCTGTTTATCCCCTCCAAAAAATTGATGACGTCATTTCAAACTTTTGTCGAATGAATCCTATCTAAAATGCGCAAAATATGATAAACCTACACTTGCATTCATATTTTTTAGAATTACTTATACAGGGTGACCCAAAAAAATTAATGAATGAGTCAAAAAATAAAATTCGCAAAATTAAATCTTATAATTTTTAGAAAAAGTTAAATTCGTTGTAGTGTACTTTAGGGACGAGGAAAGTTCTGTCTAAATATCTTTAGACCGATTTTTTATTTATGTCATTAAAAATTTTTTTAAAGTATTAAACCGAGTGAGTTATATATCTAGTTAACTGAGAAGATAAAAAATATATTTAAGGCATTTAAAAAACATATTCCGTTCTATATGAACATGCAAGTTGATGGCATTTCCACAAAAACTAAAAACAGTATAGTCATGTTATAAAGTTCTTTATATTAGTTGCATGTTCTAAATGTCAAACTTAATTTTTTTTCAAATTCACTGAGACAGTAGTCAGGAATCGGTAAACTGGGACACTCGGTGTATGTTTCCTTGAAAATTCGGCACGAAATTTTAAAATCAAAGTTTGATACTCAATGTATCTCGAAGCATCATTAAAAAATGTAGTGAATAATAACCGTCCAGGTGTGGAACCCTGTGCAACACCACTCTTCACCTCAAATTCAAATGATCTAAAACCACTGCATTCAACAAATTATTTCCGTCTCATTATTACAGATTTTAGTAAAAGTAATAAACTAATACAGACACCATATATCTCTAATTTCGGCAGAAGTAAACAACAATTATTAACTCGACCAAAGCCTTCAGTAAGATTGCGTAGTTCGGGAAAGCCTTGTCTCGAAATAAACCCCAACAATCTCATCTCCAGATCAGCCCCCAGTCTGAAGCCAGCCCTGTGTGGCAAGTTATTAAACAAAGGGATCTAACATTAATTTCACAGATCTGCGAGAACTTAACCGTCGACTCCACCCACCCCGACTTCCGCTTGTGGCTGACTTCTTACCCCGCCGATCACTTTCCCGTGCTCGTTTTACAAAACGGCGTTAAGATGACGAACGAGCCGCCGAAGGGGTTAAGAGCCAACATAACAAGATCGTATTTGAGCGATCCGATATCGGATCCCGAATGGTTCGAGAGCTGCACGCAGAGCGTCCCATTCAAGAGGCTGTTGTACGGCTTGTGCTTCTTCCACGCTTCGGTGCAAGAACGGAGGAAATTCGGGCCCCTGGGCTGGAACATCCCCTACGAATTCAACGAAACTGATCTGAGGATCAGCGTGATACAGCTCCACATGTTTCTCAATGAGTACGAGGTGAGCTGGGCGCGGGGGGTCAGCGGCTCGCACGCTTCTAAACGAGCGAGAGGTGCGAGAATACGGTTTTGAAAGGTACAAATTGAAAAAAGGGCGAGCGCAGCGATGGCGGAAAAGTGCAATTGCGGGGATTGCTGGTTGCGATCGCAATTTATGGTGACAAAGTCGTGGCGGATGTGACAGACGGGCGTCCGCGTTTTCGCAGAGTGGGTTAGAATATATCAAAGGACGGCAATTTTTGAGTTAGGAGAGGCGGCATTTGAATGTGGTTACATGTTTGAGTATATGCAATTGCTTGTCAGTGATGTCGCTGAAACGAGAAAGGCAACAAGCGCAAGACAGCAGTGTGTTCGAAATTGGAATGCCTTGTTGCTTGACATTTGCTTCTTTTGTTACGCCTGCAACGTATCTTATAAGTACATATATCCGCAACATTGGAAGCAATTACTCTACATTTTCTAACTAATTTACAAGATTGCTATTTTATGTTCGATAATATCGAGTCTTACAATATATATTTTTTAATCAATAATTTGGACCAGCAAAAATACACCAAGATTTATTGTAAATTGACAATATTTTTCAAAAATCACTTGACAAAACGGTGTGATACACCAAAAGATTACAATCGTTTTATTTTCATTATCTAAGATGCAGCATGCTACCTAGAAAAAATGAACTAATCTACTTCGTTAATATACAAATTTTATCAACGATTTAGTGTTATTGCAAGATGGTGAAAAAAGTCCTCAGACTCTGTCTGTTAAAACCCATTTACATCGTTTGAAAGTAAACATACTTAGTTGATTTTATTAAACGTGACATCCTATATATTTTGATAAATTTATAATTCTTATTAGAAAAAAAAAAAAAAGGTAAAAATTTAATCAGATTATGGATTTTTGCATTTTTACTTCCCATGCGTATGGTCGGAAAGGACTATTGTAGGATCCATTCGGGACACCGTTAATTTTGTTTTCTCGACGTTTCATGACCCGTACTGTGTGAAAAAATTGATTGGTGGGAATTTTTTGATAACATTTTCAACGCCAAATGAAAATGTCAGCCAATTTCTGACCATTTTCGGAGCTTAAAAATAATGACATATTGTTATAAATTTCAACCTACAGAAGTTAATTTCGACGTGATTTCTTAAATAACTTCTACCATTTTTCCAGAATCACTCATTTGAATATTACAATTTTTAGATTTTTAAAAACTTTAATTTTCAAATCGAATCTTGTCCTGGGACCATAAACACGCTATATTTTTGGAATTAGCACTTCCAAACTACATCCCTGATTTTTTTTTAATTTTTTGACAACTTTTTCTAAAGCAAAATTTTACAATTTCGACCAATTTTTGACCACTTTCTAAAGATAACTAAAGAAATTTTCTTATAGATTTAAACCTATAGAATTTAGTTTCGTTCTCATTTCTTCGATAACTCCTATCGTTATTCCAAAATCGATTGGATTTAAAAAAAAGTTTTTCAAACCGAATATGAGACCATAAACATGCAATATTTTTTGTAATCAGTATATCGAAATTTATATCCCTAATCTTTTGAAATTTTTTTTCAACTTTTTCAAATTTAAGACTTAGAATTTGGCACAGTTTTCGTTTTTTGAATCATAACTAAACACATGTTCTTATAGATTTTGACCTACAGAATTTAGTTCGATTTTATTTCTGCGATAACTTCTCTTACTATTTTTCCGAATCGCCCATTGGAATATTCAATTTTTTGGATTATAAAAATTAAAATATATTTTCAAACCGAATATTTCTAAAAATCTTGTCTCGAGACCATGAACATGCAATATTCTGGAAATGAGCATGTTGAAATCAATATCCCTGAATTTTTGAGACTTTTTTGAAAACATTTTCAAAAAAAAAATGTTTCTGTCTTTTGTCATCTTCTGTAGTCTGTTGGCGATTTTATTTATCAGGCTTCAGGACTTTGTCTGAAACTACTGGATTGATTGTTGTGTTTTTTTTTTGACATTTTCAAATGCAAATGAAAATTCCAGCAAATTATGACCATTTTCTAATTGATCTACTAATGTATTGGTGTGTTGTTATTATGGTTGACGGTGTGTTTCTGTATTAAATTTTATCAGATGTCGATTGTTGTTGTATTTTTTTCAGCGACGAAATAGATGATTGAAATAAATTAAAATAATTAAAATTACCCACTTTCAAAAATTAGCAGTGCCATCTAAGTAGAGTGGAAATTGTTACTTTGAACTACTATACCAATCAGCTGGTGAGTCTGGGAAAAATAGTAAAAAAATTGATTATTTTCCTATTTAATAACTAAATAATACATTCATTATCACAATAACTAGTAATGGTAAATTTTTACTGGAAAATACGATGATGATGAAAAATTGATAACATTGAGATCGAGGCGGGTATATGAGGTTTACTATAGAAAAAAATAAGGATTTTGCCATTAAACTCCACCAACGACGAATAAAAAAAATCATCAGAATTGAGATAGGGCGGGTGGGCGGAGTTTATATTTTGCCCCTTTTTTTTTCTTAATATACGTAGTTTTCTCTTCACAAGAAACTTAAAATATATATTTTTCTCTTAATATATATAGTTTTTTTAACAAGACAGTACTTAAAAACATGTTTCATATGCGTATACTACCTATAGAAGTTATAATTTTGATCTGATTTCTTCGAAAACTCCTACCATTTCTCAAGAATCGCTCATTGGAATATTACAATTTTTGGATTTTTAAAAACATTTCAAAAAGATTTTTAAATGGAATACTTCTAAAGTCTTGTCCTTGAACCATAAGCACGCTATATTTTTGTAATTGGCACGTCCAAATAGATTAGGACGTATTAATTCCAAATATAGATATCCCTGAATTTTTTTGACAACTTTTTCAAAAGCAAAATTTCGGCCAATTTTCAACCATTTTCGAAACATAACTAAAGACATTTTCTTGCTGATTTCGACTTACAGAATTTAGTTTCAATCTCATTTCTTCGGTATCTCCTACGTCCTACCATTTTTCGAAAATTGCTTATTGGAATATTACAATTTTTTAGATAAAAAACGGTTTTCAAACCGAATTATTTGACAACTGTTTCAAGACCAAAATTTTTTAATACCACCACGAAAATTTCGCCAATTTTCGATCATTTTCGAAAGATAACTAAAATAGATTTCGACCTAAGTGTTTAGTTTCGGGCTCATTTCTTCGATAACTCTTATCGTTATTCCATTTGAATATTGCAACTTTTTCGATTTTAAAAAAAGTTATCTTAAAGCCGATTTTTTGACAAATTTTTCAATAACCTCCCTCGTATGAAAACTGCGGCCAATTTTCGACCATTTTAGAAACTTTACCAATGACATTTTGTTATAGATTTCAACCTACAGTCGTTTCCAAAAAAAATCGGGCAAATGACACTGATATGAAAATCATATTCCCATTGCTTTTCGTTGATCTCTGAGAACCTTATTTACTTATCTTGCCCGAATTTTTTGGAAACGATTGTACAAAAGTTAGTTTTGGCCTCATTTTTTTCGATTTTTCCAAAAACGCTCATTAAATATTGCAGCTTTTTGGATTTTTAAAAACATTGATTTTCAAAATAAATATTTCTGGCCCTGGCCCCATAAACACGCTATATTTTTGAGTCAATACGTCGAACTCCCCATTTTTTTTGGAATTCTTTGACAATTTTTTTTTCAAAATTTAAAAATTTTAACAAATTTTCGACTACTTTCGAAACATAACTAAAGACATCTTCTTATAGATTTCAACCTAGAGAATTTAGTTGCAGTCTCATTTCGTCAATAACTCCTACCATTTTTCCAGAATCGATCATTGGAATATTATTTTTTGGAAAAAAAATTGGTTTCCAAACCGATTTTTTTATAACTTTCTTATAGATTTCGACCTACGGAATTAAATTACGGTCTCATTTCTTCGATAACTCCTACCATTTTTCCAAAATCACTCATTGGAATATTACAACTTTTTGGTTAAAAAAAAAAGTTTTTCACGCCGAATAATGTAAAATTTTGCCCTGAGACCATAAATATGCTATAATTTTGCAATCACCATGTCGGAATTTATATCTCTGATTTTTTTTGGAATTATTTTGGAAACTTTTCCAAAATAAAAATTTCAAAATTTCGGCGAATTTTCAGCCATTTTCAAAACATAACTAAAAATATTTTCTTATAGATTTTGATTTACAGAAAGTAGTTTCGGTCTCATTTCTTGGATAATTTCTACCATTTTTCCGGAATCACCGATTCGAATATTGCAATTTTTTGGATTTAAAAAAAGATTTTCAATCGGACGATGTCTAAAATCTTGCCCTAGGACCACAAATAGGTAATATTCTGGCAATGAGCACATTGAAATCAATATCACTGATTTTTTGGGAATTTTTTGAAAACATTTTCAAAAGCAATATTTTGTCTGTGTTTTGTCATCTTCTGTAGTCTGTTGACGATTTTATTAGACAGACTGTCTCTGAAACTACTAGACAGTTTGTTATGAAATTATATATATATTTTATGGATATTGTGTATAAAAAATGGTGAAACGCTAACCAAGTAATTTTATGATATCACCTCAAAATCATGCCCATTAGATACTATTTAATTTTGTAAAAATTTCATATTTTTATATTCCTGTGGGTTATGAATCCGACATTTTACTTTAGACAACTATATTTTTGGAAAAAATAACATTTTACAATTTAATTTAACTTAGAAACTGCAAAATTCAATGCTCTGAAATTTTGGAAAATTTTAAGATTATCATAAATCACCAATGACAATTTACCTATTTATCTTCTTCAAAACCTATGACTCCACCTCAAAATTATGGTGGATGAATCCTATTTAAAATTTCCAAAATATTATGAGTTTACAACTGTGGTTTACAGTGTAATCACAGGGTGACCCAGTAAAATTAATGACTAAAGACCGATTAAATCAAAATCGGCTTATTTTATGTTCCTAAAAAAAACAAATTTAGATCAATTTTTATGTAAAACAAACGCTCATGTTTAAAAATTTCCAATTCTGCCATTTTAAAGATGGAGATCTGAAATTTTCCAGACAACTTTTTAATTACCGATTTTGTTCAGATTTATCCGGATAGATTTTTAGTACTGTTGTTAAGATAAATCCCAACAAAAATCTCTAATCTCTGAAAAAAGGTGATTTAGAATTTCGAAAATATTGAAAATACATTCTGGTTAAAAAAATGATTTTTTTTTCTTTTTTACTTAACGTAACTTATAACGAAGTATTGTAATACGACCCATCCGACGAATGGCAATCTTCATATATTTTCGACGTTTTATGACCCCTAGAGTATGAAACAATAAGTCTCCTATTTTCCTCAGTCCGTCGACTGTATCTACCTCTTTATGCGACAGATGGTAACAGAAAATTTGTCTGATCATCCCCACCAAGAATTTGATGACGTCACCTTAAAATTTTGTATAGTAAATGTGATTTAAATTTTATAAAACTCCAAATTGTATAATAACATATTTTATACCAGTCGAAGTGGAGAAATATCGTACTATTATGTGAAGGCAGCTGGTTCAATTCCCTCATGGCCCACTTTTTTTTATAAGGTGACTAATTTTATCTATATTTTTTAACACATAGAGCTTATCGTAAAATAAATAAAATTTGGCAAAATCAAATTTTATAGTTTTTCAGAGAAATTATATTTGTTGAATTGTACTTCAGAGCCGACGGAAGCTCTGTCTAAATAACCTTTTGAAGCATTTAATAAATCTGTAAAAATATATAGGCTGTTCCATTAAAATACAGTATTGGTGTGTAATCTTTAAATGAAACACCTTGCACATTTGAAAATAAGCGATTTTTGATAATTGTCTTCTAAAAACAAAGATTTTTTTTAATTTTGAATATAACTGATTAGGCCATTTTTTACAGTTGCACATATTGAGCAACAAATTCTTTGTACTCTGGTTAACTATTTAGGTAGAGAAAATCTCGTTCCCACAAATAAAAAACGTTGAAAACGATTTTCTTCCTACAATTTCTTTTAATTATGATACCGAAACACATACTGAAATATTTAGTTTTTTTTTTTCAGGAAAAAATTGCCCTTATTTTACGTTTTTCATTGCCATTGCCGATTAAATATGGTGATATTTTCCACTGATTAAACAGGGTATATTGTTTGTGAAAGATTGCATCATCATGTTTCACCGTTATCAACTGATTTCTAAATTTAAAAAGCTGCGTGATGAAAATGAGAACATTCTTAATTTTACAACTATAAAATTATGTGAAATACAAGAAATGGACGAACTTAATTTAAAACAAAATATTTAATATAACACATTTTCAGCACCATCTAAAAAAATTGTAGTACCTTTAATTAAATTTAGAAATGTTGTAACAGAGTGTAGGCATTGACTTTTTTTTTCACGTTTTCTTTTTGCTTTGAAATTTTTCGGGACAGCAATAAGAATTTTATGTTTCATAGGATTATATTACCGATTGTTCTATTACTTCTGTTGCAATCTTGTTAGAAATAGAATTTTGGATATAACTTTATGCTATGATGAACAATTTTTACCCACTACGGTATTTCGCTGTGGTGGTAACAGCAGGTCTTGCAGACCTACCGAAAAACGTCTCAGCCTATGTCCAGTGTATGATTAAGTGGTGCGTCTGGTCGCGTCCTATCTTAAATACATGGGATTTTAGTCCAAATACGAGGTATATCGCTTTAAAAAAATTAAACACACTGTCTGAAACATCGCGAACACTCTTAAGGTTACTTTATCCAAGAATAATGTTGTGGATGTACATAGATTACAAGAAAATCATATTTTTATAAAATAAATTGGCAACGCCTATATCTTTAGGCAAACCTTGTTGCCAGATGGTATTTTATCCATTTTTTATAAAAATAAGACATTCATAATTTTACCATAGGGGACAAAAATATCAACTAAACAATTTTCCTGTGTAAATATTTAAAGCATTACAAGGATATGTCAAGTCTTAGATAAAAGAGACTTTACATTTCGTGTTGCATGTGTTTCCATTCCCCACTTTTTCCAGTCTAGGCCATAAAATTTCGAAAGTCGTTTATTTTTGCAATTCCGAAACTAGAACACATTGTATTTTACTGTAGGTAATTTTTCTCTTTCGTAATCGAATTTAAGGACGTTCAATACGATGCCCTGTTGTACCTGACCGGAGAATGCAACTACGGAGGCCGAGTGACGGACGACTGGGACCGGAGGACTCTCTCGACGATACTACGAAAGTTTTATTGCAAGGAGCTCGTCGAAACTCCAAAATACCCTTTTGATCCCACAAGTGAGTTGTGCCTTATTATTGTTTCTTCGTGCGAATAAAACTTCCGTTGCCAGAAAAGTATTACTGCCCTAACAAAGATGATTATGAAGAATTCATGGAGTATACCAAGTCGTTACCTTTGATCACCCACCCAGAAGTGTTCGGTATGAACGAAAACGCGGATATCATGAAAGATCAACAGGAAACGAATTTGATGTTTACCAGTATTCTGCTCACGCAGGTAATGAACAATAATATGTTTTTTCAGTTCGGATGTTTTTAATTGAGTTGGGGGTATTTTTAATTAGATTCTCTTTGCTGCCGCGATACGAATAATTGTTTTTTCCTAATTAAAAAGTATTCTTTTCCATGCGGAGGAGAATCGGCCGGGTTTTAGGGCAAATTTAAATCACGCATCTTATATTTATTTTTTTAATTAAAAATTTCTCGGGCCGAGCAGAACCGATTTTATTGAAAGAAATAAATTTTAACGTCTATGAAGGTACGCTAAACACTAAACGAAGATTTATTTCTTTTCCTGCTGCTGTGTAGGACCGGACCGTAAGTATAGCGCCAGACACGCTGGCTATATAAATGTGTAATTTTTTTGACAATGTTTTTTTAAATTGCAAATCAGGATTTGTGGAAGCTGGAGGTATGTTAATGAATTTTTTTATTACTCTTTCCAGAAAAATTGCCTTCTAAATTTGTTTCATCTCAGTTGTAAATTTCCCGGCTTATAACATCCAATGCAGCCATAAAAAACTGTTGAATTTAAACATTAAATATTTCTGTTTCATTTTTATGCTAACGAAAGGAGCTGATCAAAGAACGGGTGAGTGTAGTTTTCTGAAAGGTTGTGTTTTCTGTAGCTAGTAGACTCACATTAGATAAGAATTTTATTAGGGGTTGTGTGTGACACTGGATGATTTGTCTAGGTGAGGTATGCAATACGTCTAACGATTTTATTACCTAGTATCTTCTGTGATTTATAAACGTGAACCAAATTTTAAGTTAACTAATTTCAGGGATAGCGGAAATATAATTAAGTACAAAATGTACACAATTTTGGGCTTTGCTTTAATTTATTGCTGAGTAAGCCCCAAAGTCACTTGAGAATTTATTGCGGCTTGTAATGTGTAAAATCGCTTTTTACTCACAGAGCTGCACCAGTAAATTATTTTTTTACCGAATTTGAACATGTTCTCGTTTAATTGCAAACTCGAGGCAACTACTTGGTAAACTGTTGAATATTGGATAACTCTTAAAATACCTCGGATTGTGTTTTGAGCAATTTGTTAGTTTGTGATGTTCACGTTATTTTAGAAGTTATTTTACCTAAATTAACAGCAATATTAAATGCAATTTAAATTTTATCGTTATTATTTTATGTGTTATGAAACATAACTTCTAATAAAATACATTTTGTAATGACGTCGTTGACTGCAATTACTAAGAAACTACATTAAATGTACAGTGGAGAGTGGAGACCATAGAAAACTGGACAACTTTGACATAACAAAGTTTTAGTTGCTTTTTTTTAATATCATAATAGCAATTTGAATATTGTACACCTCTGATTTGAAAAACAGGACAGTGATTTTGTCAAAATTATTTGATCTGTCAAAAAAAACATTAATTAAACGCTGAAATTTTTTAAAATTTGAAAGTGTTGTATCAAATATTGCGGTCCAGTTTTCTATGGTCGCGTCTGTACATACACTCAAGATATTCACTAAAATGTATGTAATAAGTTTAGAATAAACAGATCAAAAAATACGATAATTTTTATTAATTAACCAGAAAACCGTGACATACCAAACGAAAAAAAAATTTTGTTTTTTCATTTCAACACTGGATTTTAAACACGATGTTAACGTCCTGAGGCACATACCATTTAGTTGACGCTGATTAAATTAATAAAAACGCTGTAAATTGTTGTTTTTTACTTCTCGAGCGTAAGCTAAGGAAATATTGTAACCGAGTCCATCATGCGGCTGATTGATATCATGTGGGTCTGCCGTTTCCGCCTGTTTGTCTATCTATTTGTCTGTCTGCCTGTCCGTCGTCCGTGACGATTTTTTTTCGGACGGAAAATCTCCGAAACTACTGGACCGATTTATGTAAAATTTTATGTGTATTATGAATATCATGTAGATGCTCAACCGCTAACCAAACTTTGTCTAATCATCCCCATAAATAATGTGATGACGTCACCTCAAAATTGTATACTGGACTTTTACCCAGTCCAGATTTTTGGAAAAAAAAACAAAGTTATATTTTAACATTCTACAATTTAATTTGGAATCTAAATAAATATATGTCTAACCACCCTACACAATTTTTTTCATTAGATAAAATAAATTTAACAAAATTAACCTCTCTCTAATTTTCCCCAGAATGATTAAATTAGAATTATGTATAATAATAATCTTCAGAACATTTTGTTCGATTATGGCTTATTTAATAATTTTAATCCTCTGACATCCGTGACATTCTTCCGATGTATAAACATCAAGATTTCAAGTTATTGCTGAGAGGTTATTTTTACTCATTGAACATCAGCTAAGGAAGTATAGTAATCGAGTCCATCAGGCGACTTGCTACTTTCATATTTTCTTGATGTTTCATGACCCTCTTGAGGGGGCCGTATCTAGGGGAAGGCCAGGCGAGGCTGAACCTCCCCTATAGGAATTTTTGGCTCCCCTAGTCCTACACAAGTTATAATTAACCAAATGTGAATTACAAAAAATGTCCTTTAGTTTAGTTTCAGTGTTTCACTCTCACGTGTAAAGTTTCGACAAGCGTTATCGCTATTTGTCTTAAATTACGAGTACTTATAAATGCTTTTATTAAATTGTTTTGTCATTTTATTGATTAAATCAAAATTCTAGAAGGACTTATTCCATTTTCTCTAAAATTTGGGAATTCTAAAATTTCGAAAATCTTGATCCGGGACAATAAACACGCTATATTTTTCAAATTAGCTCGTGGAGATTTGTATCCTTGAATTTTTTGTCGATTTTTAGGCAACTTTTCCGAAATCTCAATTTGTCAATACGACCTCTTTTGAAATTTTGGACTCTTTTTGACACATATCTCAAAGTTTTGGCAACTTTTCAAAAACCTCAATTTTTCAATACTCTCCCCTATTACGAAATTTTCGATTCTTTATATCTTCGAAAATTAGCTAAAGAGAATTTTTTGTCAATTTCGATCTCGAAAATACGTATAATTTTCCAAAATCTCCAAACGATTTTTTTTGTTATTTTATAATCTCTAATAAATTTGAGTATGAGATTGAATATTTCGAAAATCTGCATCCGCGACCGTTAACAAGTTATATTCTCACGATTAACATATCGAGATCTGTATCTTAGAATTTTTTGTGGATCTTCGACAACTTTTCCAATACCTCAATTTTCAATATTGCTATTTTATGAAATTACCTAAAAAATTTTTTTGTAGATTTCGGCCTCCAAAATTCACTTTCAGCTTCATTTTTTGAAAATTCCTAGTACTTTTCTAAAATCGCCAAATTAATATGACAATTCTTAGAATTAAAAAATAATTGAGTATGAATGTTTCGAAAATCTTGGTCCGGGACTATAAATACGCGATATTTTCCGATTCAGCTCGTGTAAATCTACATCCTAAAATTTCTTGTTAATTTTTAAAGCAACTTTTCCAAAACCTCTACCTTCAATTCTACTAATCAATTGTCCGACTTTTTTCGATCACCTACGAAAATTAACTAAAGAGATTTTCTGTATATTTCGACCTCCAAAATTTACTTAGGGCATAACTTGCTGAAAATTTCTAGCATATTGAATAATATGACAATTTTTAGAGTTTGTGAAAAAATTGTGTTTGATCCCGAATATTTCAAAAATCTATCTGCATCCCGGACCATTACCCTATATTTTGAGAATCACTATGTCGAGATCTTAGATCTTAGAATTTTTGTGGATTTTTAGTCAACGTTTCCAAAACCTCGGTTACGAAATTTTCGACCCTTTTTCGACCACTTTCGAAAATTACCTAGAGATTTTTTTGTAGATTTCGACCTCTAAAACTAACCTTTCGCTTCATTTCTTCGAAAATTCCTAGCGTTTCTCAACAATCAGCAATTGAAATGACAAGTTTTAGAATTTCTAAAAATTTTAGTTTGAAACAGAATATTACGAAAACTTGTGTTGAGGACCCTCAATAAGCTATATTTTGAGAACCAGCATGTTAAGACCTATATGTTAGAATTTTTCTGGATTTTTTGGTAACATTTCCAAAATCTTTTTTCAATGCCTCTTATGAAATTTTCGACCCTGTATTTGCCACTTTGGAAAATTACTTAAAGAGAACTTTTTGGCAATTTAGATTTCGAAATACGTATAATTTTCCAATATCTCCAACGAAATATGGCCATTTTTTTAGAATTTCTAATAAATTTGAGTTTGAGGCTGAATATTTCGAAAATCTGCATCCGTGACTATTAATAAGTTATATTCTCGGAAACAATATCTTAAGATCTATAGCTTAGAGTTTTTTGTGGATCTTTAGACAACTTTTCTAATCCTCCATATTTCAACACTCCCGTTTTATGAAATTTTCGACTCCCTATGGACCACCTTAAAAAATTACCTAAAGAGATTTTCTTGTACATTTCGGCCTTCAAAATTTACTTTCGGCTTCATTTTTTGAAAATTTCTAGCACTTTTCCAAAATCGCCAAATGAATATGGCAATTTTTAGCATTTAAAAAAATTGAGTTTGAAACAGAATGTTTCGAAAATCTTGATCCGGGACTGCAAACACGCTATATTTTCCAATTCAGCTCGTCTGAATTCTTAAGGCAACTTTTCCAAACCCTCAACTTTTAATTTTACTTATCAATTTTCCGACCTTTTTTCGACCACCATCGAAAATTACCTAAAGAGATTTTTTTGTAGATTTCAACCTCTAGAACTTACTTATCGCTTCATTTCTTCGAAAATTCCTAGCGTTTCCTCAAAATCATCAAATGAACTATGACAAATATTACAGTTTCTAAAAATTTTGATTAGAAACCGAATATTTCGAAAACTTGTGTTGGGAACCACCAATAAGCTATATTTTGAAAATCAGCATGTCACGACCTCCACCTGTCTTAGATTTTTTTGTGGATTTTTTGGTAACTTTTCCAGAATTATTTTTCAATACTCTCCTCTTCTCAAATTTTCGACCCTTTATCGACCACCTTCAAAAATTACCTAAAGAGAATTTTTTGTCAATTTTGATCTCGAAAATACGTATAATTTTCCAAAATCTCCAAATAAAATATGGCCATTTTTTACAATTTCTAAAAAATTGTGTCTGAGACTGATAATTTCGAAAATCTGCATCCAGGACCATTAACTTATATTCTCAGAATCAACATGTCGAAATCTATATCTTAGAATTTTTTATGGAACTTTAGACAACTTTTTCAATACCTCCATTTTTCAATACTCCCCTTTTATGAAATTTTCGACCCTTTATGGACCACTTTCCAAAATTACTTAAAGGGATTTTTCGTACATTTGCGCCTCCAAAATTTACCTTCGGCTTCAGTTTTTGAAAATTCCTAGCACTTTTCCAAAATCGCCAAAAGAAAATGGCAATTTTTAGAATTTAAAAAAATTGAGTTTGAAAGAGAATGTTTCGAAAATCTTGATCCGGGACTATATTTTCCGAATCAGCTCGTGTAAATCGGGTCCTAAAATTTTTTGTGAATTTTTAAGGCAACTTTCAATAATTCTACTTATGATTTTTCCGACCTTGGAAAATTAACTAAAGATATTTTCTATACATTTCGACCTCCAAAATTTACTTACGGTATAATTTTTTTGAAAATTCCTAGAATTTTTCTAAAATCGCCAAATGAAATATGGCAATTTTTAGAATTTGTAAAAAAATTGAGTTTGATCCTGAATATTTCAAAAATCTATCTGGATCCAGGACCATTAACCTATATTTTGAGAATAAGCTTGTCGATCTTAGAATTTTTGTGTATTGTTAGTCAACGTTTCCAAAATATCCGTTTTTAAATACTCACCTCTTACGAAATTTGCGACGCTTTTTCGACTTTTGAAAATTACCCAAAGAGATTTTTTTGTAGATTTCGACCTCTGAAACTTACTTTTCGCTTCATTTCTTCGAAAATTCCTAGCAATTCTCCAAAATCAGCAAATGAAATATAACAACTTTTAGAATTTCTAAAAATTTGAGTTTGAAACCGAATGTTTCGAAAACTTGTGTTGGGGACCATCAATAAGCTATTTTGAGAATCAGCTTGTAAAGACCTATATGTTAGATTTTTTGTGGATTTTTTTGGTAACTTTTCCAAATTCACTTTTCAATACCTTCCTCTTTGAAATTTTCGAGCCTTTTTCGACCACCTTCGAAAATCACTTAAAGAATTTTTTTGTAGACTTCATCTTCGAAAATTGATCGCCAAACGAAATATATTCCAGATTTTTTTTCTGGATTTTTAGGTGAAATAGTACTGTTATTATTAGTATTATAGTGCGTCTATTCACATTTATATCCGTGACGTCATCACAAAATTTTGCTTAATTACTCCTATTACTTTGAGTAATTAATTAAAACTTTTTTTTATTTCTTTAGGAAAAAAGAACAAATTCCTAGTGCAGGTTTTTTTGACGACGTTATTCTTAATTTCGATTTTCTAGGACGCGACAGCATCAGGTGGTAGTCAAAAATCTCCCGATGAAGTCATCCTCGAAGTCGCAGCTGACATTTTAGCAAAATTACCCCGTAATTACGACCGAGATGCCGTAATGGAAAAATATCCGACTTTATACGCTCAGAGTATGAACACAGTCCTCGTCCAAGAAATGAACCGATTCAACAACCTCCTCTCCGAAATCAGATCGAGTTTAATAAACGTGGGCAAAGCAATAAAGGGCCTAATCGTTATGTCTCCTACTTTAGAGGAGGTCACCATGAGCATGCTGACCGGAAAAATTCCCAGTTTATGGATGAAAAAGTCGTACCCGTCCTTGAAACCACTAGGAAGCTACGTTAATGATTTCTTGGCACGTCTGGCTTTCTTGCAGGTATAATTCAATTCAGAATTTTATATCGAGTTTTGGCTATACGAAACTTGTCTAGAAATGGTATGAGGAAGGCGCTCCACCGTCGTATTGGATCTCGGGATTTTTCTTTACGCAGGCTTTCTTGACAGGGGCTCAACAAAATTACGCAAGGAAGTACAGAATACCGATCGACTTGCTGGCATTTGATTACGAGGTTGGTTTGTTTACGCATTTTAATTCGAACTTGAGGAAGATCGATTTTAGGTGTTGAAAGAAACGCATTTTACTGAAGGACCAGACGATGGAGTTATTGTTTATGGGCTTTTCTTGGATGGGGCGCGATGGGACATGACGACGATGGTTGTGGATGAAGCGCTGCCGAAAGTACTGTACGACAATGTGCCTTATGTGAGTTACAAACAAACGTAGTAGTAATTGGTTCTGAGTAATGCATTCGACCCTTAATTATTTTGGTCAGAATCGTTCGATCTCGTACATTTGTGGTCAGGCTGTGGTGGAAGTGGTCGGGTTTGAAAACACCACTGCAGTCCGTTCGATTTGTAACAAAGAGGGCAGAACAAAGTAACACGAATTGAATGCATCCTTAATACAATTGTCCTACGTTATATGTATACAGGAGGTCCCAAATTTCTACTGAAGGAAGACAAAGAGAATATATATTACTATTTTTAGATCATAGATTTAGATTTAGAAGTTCTCTCGACGTTACATGAACCCTAGAATATGAAAAAAGTAGGTCGCGTTTCGTGTCGCTCGTTTCGCGAGCTTTTCTACACAACGTCTCGTTCGCTACACGAGCTTTAATTATTTGCTTATGATTTTTTTTTTATTTTAATTTTATAAACAAGTTTTTAAATGACAATACTATTGATAGATATAAAAATCAAATATTGTTTCAGATTTGGCTTAAACCGATGAAACGAGAAGACATCAAAGAAAGACACACTTACTTATGTCCGGTGTACAAAACTTCTGAAAGACGAGGCGTGTTATCGACAACAGGTCATTCCACCAATTTCGTTATTGCAATGACACTACCAACTAAAAAGTCTTCAAATCATTGGATAATGCGAGGTGTGGCCATGTTGTGTCAGCTGTCGCAGTAATGGAGGAGAGCGATTAATTGTTCGTTTTTAGTACTTTGTTACGATGTTTTTTATTTATGCGGACATGCACTTTTATATTTATTTATGTTGTGTGTATGCACCATTTCACTGTTTGTGCGGAAATAAAGTTATATTTTATGCAAATGGATGGCTATTTTATTTAAAAAAATATTTTGTGGTTGGGTATTTTAGAGCATTTTGACATTTCACTGAAATAAACAAAGAGAACCGTAAACTGTTGAATTGTGTTGATAAGTAATTTAAAAAGGGCGACACAAAAATGCAGTTACCCCAGAGAATTGCATTAACAATGCTATGTATTTAGTAAGTTGATTTGATTGATATTGTTAAAATAATAGCGAAATGGGTTTGAGTAAATGTGTTTTTCGTGTTTTGTAAATTAAATTTGTGTTTAATTTTAAACGAGAGTGAATTTGGTACAATTTTTGCAGCGAATGCATGCGTTGAAAAACGATATGACTCGGGTTTCCGTCTGTTCTTGATAGTGTCCAAAACTACCGGACCGATTGTTGTCAAATTTCTTTGTATTTTATTGATCCCTTCATCTCAAAATTTTGTATAGTAAATATTTAAATTTTTTGAGGTAACATTCTCCTGTACCTACTCATGGTTTATGAATTCGCCTTGATATTTTACCCTAGGCATCCACTTTATACTAATACATTATCTAGTTTTTGTTGTCTAAAAAACTGGATTTATTTGATAGCACTTCAGGGGCAAGGGAAATCATTTTTTGTTCCCTTGCTATTTTATTAACACATTTATTTTACTTATAATTTTTTTTAAATTTTTTACTATAATAATAAAAATATTTACGTTTTCCTTTTTCATTGATCTTGCAAAACACAGCCCATGCGGATAAAAATTAATAAATTACTGTGTTTCATTTAAAAGTGATATAGAGTATCTATCTATTTGTCACGTCATCTCCTTTCCAGCTATGACGTCACTTGCATTTTTTTTTTAAATAGAACAGAATATACAATATAAGTAAGCTCGTAATGTTTCCAAATTTTGATCATTTTTTGTAAAAATGAATCATCAGTATTTGCTAAGATAAAACTGATTTTGGCAAATAACATATTCTCTAAGAAAATAAAGGGTGGGTGGGCGGGGCTAGTAGCTACTAAGATAAGATTGATTTTGGCTAGCGAAATACCCTCTAGGAAAAGAGAGGGTAGGTGGGCGGGGCTGGCACCTACTAGAATAAGATTAATTTTGGCAAATGACATACCCGCCAAGAAAATAGAGAGCAGATGGGCGGGTCTAGTTACCTGCTAAGATAAGACTCCTTTTAGCAAATGAGACACCCTCTAAGTAAAAAGAGAATGGCTGGGCGGGGCTAGTATCGGCTAAAATAAGATCGACCTCTAAGAAAAGAGAGGGCGGGTGGGTGGGGCTAGAACCTGCCAATTAAGACCGATTTTAGCAAATGACATACCCTCTAAGAAAAGAGAGGGTGGGTGGGCAGGGCTAGTACCTGTTAAGATAAAAATTGATTTTGGCGAATGAGATACCCTCTAAAAAAAGAGAGAGTGGGTGGACGGGGCTAGTAGCTGCTAAAATAAGACCGATTTTGGGAAATAACATACCCTCTAAGAAAAGAGAGGACGGGTGGGTGGGGCTAGAACATGCTAAATAAGACCGATTTTAGTAAATGACATACCCTCTAAGAAAAGAGAGGGTGGGTGGGCGGGGCTAGTATCTGCCACAATAGGAGTGATTTTGCCAAATGACATACCCTCTAAGAAAAGGGAGGGTGAGTGGGCGGAGCTACTACCGGCTAAGATAAAAATTAATTTTGGCAAATGAGATACCTTCTAAGAAAAGAGAGGACGGGGGGCGGATCTACAAAAAGAACACAACCATGTCTCTGTACTTTCTAACTGAAATGGTAATTAAACATGGTTATGTACGAGAGAAATATTAACTAAAAGTTTTATTACTAGTTATTGTGAAAATGAATGTGACATATAGAGTGTTCTGTTTTAAAAGCGTAGCACAACTTAGTTTTTTAAATGAAACACCCTATATATATTTTTATATAGTCTGATTGACTTCTTCTTAAGTTTTACAATCACAGTTTACTGTCGAAATTGCGATGCGACGATGCCACATTATTCCAATTTTCTTGACATTTTTTGGCAGTTAAGGGGTTTACAAAAATTAGCAATAGGGGTAAAAATAAAAAAATACGCACTTTGTTCTGGTATCAACTAAATGAAATTTTAATATACAGAGTGTTTATAAAAAAATAAAACTTTGCAATTTTCAAATATCGGTATTAATCCGGTTAAAATAGACATAAAAATAGTGATCAAATAACAAAAACTCCGACAGAGCTGAATTTTGGTAGAGACCTTAGGTACACCAGTATAAATAAAGTGCCAAAAGTCCCCATAGATCCCATGTGTGCTAAAAAAGTTATTCAAGGTTAAAGGTAAAAATTTTTGGTTTTTTGGATTTTTCTCGAAAACAGTAAGTTTTATCAAAAATATAGTTCAAACAAAAATTATAGGGCATAAAATTATCTACAAAAATGGTCCTTACGCTTTTTTTCATAAGCATCACCATTCCTAAGATATCGCCGTTCTAAAAGTTGAAGGAGTTACATTCTACTGGTGTACCCAAGGTTTCTACCAAAATTCAGCTCTGTCGGAGTTTTTGTTATTTGAAATGTCTATTTTGACCGAACTATATTTCAGCTTTTCCAAGCACAACTTTTTGTAATTGTATTTTATTATTCTATCATACTCTATTTTTTGTCTTAATTCTTCTAATAATATGTCTCCGTGTTTCTTAAAAAGGTAAAAAATCGCAGTAACTATCAATTTTAACCATAGAAAAACTCACCAAAAAAACCGAACAAAAAAATTGGATAAAATGCAGTAACAAAATTTTATTAAGTTCTGTTTGTAAAAACTGAAATATCACTATTTGAAAATGGTAATAATTAAAACATTTTTTATAAACACTCTGTATACAATAATTTAATTTCATATTTACCATAACAAAGTGCGTATCTTTTGAACTCTTCCTGCGCTAGAAAATGTTAAGAAACTTAGAATAACATGGCAACGTCGCATCGTAATTTAAAAAATATATTGTGGTTGTAAAGCCTCAGAAGAGGTTAATCGAAAAATTCTGGGTGTTTCATTAAAAAAAAACAAAGTTGTGTTACCTCTTAAAAACAAAACACTCTGTATAGTTAAAAATAATTCTAGGGTGTAGTTCTTGAAGTAAAATACAACTTTTTTTTATTTCTAATAATTAATGATATACTGACGAATTTCAGAAAAAAAAATATTTAGAAACACCACAAAAGTTGCTGATTATTTTCTTGATAAAACTAAAATTCGACGAATCCAAAATTATCCAAAACTAAAACAAAAATCTAGCATTTCATTAAAAACATTGAGTGTGACGATATAAACAAATGAAGAAAACTAAAAAGAGCGTACTTAGAAATAAAAACTGACTTGTTTCAGCGTTTTCGACAAATACTATTAGTCTTCCGATTACTGAATTTATTCAAAAAGTAGTTTTCACATTGTACAACTTCTAGAAAACAAGTTTTACATAAAAAAAGGAACTTTTTTCTTTAAACTATAAACCCAATTTTAAAAGTCTAAAATATTGGTGGATGCGCCGGTTTACATTACTCTATTTTTGGAACACGAAATGTTCTGGTCCACAAGGGATTCAAATTTAAAGTCTTCAAGAAATAACAACATAACGTAGTAACAAAGTACGCCGTACTTGTAGTTGTATTTGCTTTAAAAGCTTTCCCGAGCGCTAGATTTATTATTAATTCAGCTCAGTTTTAGAACAACACTCAAGTTAAATGTTTAAAGTTAAATGTAGCTGTAGCTTTCAGGACAATTCAAAAAATATGTAAAATTCATCTCGAAAAATTTAATTTTTAATTTTACTATTGTTGCGCAATTCTAACAAAATTTACAACATTATTTTAAAGCGAAATGCACTTTTAAAATTACTAGTTACATGATAGTATATTAAAGAACACGTTTTATAAGGTCCATTATTATCACACGAGTTCAAGTTTGTGAAACGAACCGCTTGCGGCGAAAGAATGGGTGCCATATTGACCATATGTAACAAATGCTCTCAATAGAAATTTCAAATAACCAAATTACAAAAAAAAAAAATTTGAAGTTGCCACAAGTTTAACTTTATCTGAGAAAATAGGTAAAAAATCTTACTTACAGTACGAAGTCAGGAATACCAACCCACAAACCAGCGCTTTAAGAGACTATTAAAAAAGGTCTGTTTCCTAATTTAGTTTTAATAGTTTTTCGAAAATTGAAATTCCCTACCTCTTAATCCTAAAACATTTTAATGTACCTACTGTCGTTTTATAGTTTTTCTACTATCGTCTAAAACTGTTTTGCACTTTATTGCAGTAATTCTGCTTGCTCTAAAACGTAAATATCCGAAAATGTATCAAAGACAGTACCGGAGAGATTTTATCCGGGGAAATATTGAATATAATCTCCTGAGTACACATTTATTTTTAATCTGCATAATCTAAAAGAACGGGGATACAAATGTATTGATTACGTGCAGATGAAACTCAAATAAAGTTTACACTCTGCTGGCCGCGAACCGCTGCATAAAATTTGTCCTTCCATGATTTTTGCCGGCAGAACGCATTTCATTTTGCACCGTTTGCTATGTATATTAAGATTATTTTATATTATATTATAATTCTGTTCAGGTTTCGGTACATAAATTACCACTATAAAGGGGCAGAAGAAGGTGAAAAGAGCAAAGAAACTCTAAGTTATGTAAGAAGGGGACAGAAAGGCGACAGTCTTAGCTAAAGGAAGAAGAGCACACATTGAACTTTGCAGGCCTTCGTTCCACTTCTTCCACAAATATGGCCACTTTTTTCATACCGGTTATCCGAAATTTGTGTACCTCAAATTGTGATAGTAATAAGGCACGAGCCTAAATTTTATGTAAAAAATGTCACTTAAAATTTTGTGTTGTTGAGCTTCGAAGGAGCGGGAAGTTCAGTATAAATAAGTGCACACATTTTCTGCGACCTTCCATCCATGACTTTTTTTATTT